TAATATTTTGCTATTTTGATTAAGGTTTTATCCGTTTAGCATTAATTTTGTGCATGCTACATTCGCTTTCAAGACAATGTAATACCATATTTATTTCATACAAGCATTTTGGAAGTATACTTTTGTAAATTTCAAACAATCATTTTTGCATCAGATATTATTTTGTAAACTTTGAAGTATTTTGATTATTTTTTTGTTAAATACCTTGTTGTAATGAGCTGTGTAATTAATTTGTTCTACTTTGAATAATTATCTAGTGACCATGTGTGTTTTCGAGCTTTTTAAGAATTGAGAATTGAACATGTAATTTAAATAATACAGTGAACACCGGACTCGAAATACGTCGGGACACATGTTCGACTGGTTGTTGTACATATATTATTAATTTTATCCTAAGTTTAATGGCTGAATGATAATAACCTTAAACATGCACATTTTACTCACTTACTCGTAAGTGTAGTGAGATCAATTAAATAAATTAAAGTCTAGAGAAACGCAAACAAAAAAGCAGTGACACAAAAGATAATTATTTATAACCAAAGTCCAACTGCTTTCCATGATAAACACCACTTATTAATGACTAATTGACTTCAGCATTTTATTGATTCATTAGGCTTTAAACACATGATTACTGACTTATCCGTGAAAGTTATATGAAATTATTTCACAGTGAAAATTATCAAAATGTAATTTCACACCTTATATTGAAGAGACTTCGTTTAAAAGATTTTCCCTATTTGGTACGTCATTTTTATTTTCGATTACAATTTTGAAAGAAACAGGCCTGTTTAGAGCAAAGCAAATTAACGGATTAAAATCTTAAAACGATAAAACTTACTTCAATTCATCACCACATATTGTTTCAAATTTATATGTCATTCACAACAGTCTGATAATTAGACTATCACATGCAAAACTGCACTTGATGGCATTTGGTGCATATCTAAGCATCCTACGAGCAATAATTGTAATGCAATGAAAGTGTAAAAGCAAAGACAGTCATCAGCCAAAACGATAAGTAAATAAATAAGCGTTCGTAAGATAGCCTTTCAAATAATAATTCAATGTTTTCCACTCGTGAGAATACTGAGCTCACTTGATGAAATAAGATTTCATCTTAAACAAAAACAAACAAATATCCTCTATAAATGTTATACAAAGAAAAAATAGTGTATTTGTACCTACGCTGAGCTATTGAAAATATCATTGTTTTACAAACGGCATCTGTAGGCATAAAACGAACACAATAATTGTTTCATTTGTAATATGTCCGTATTTAACCCTTTCCGTCATGAGCATATTGTGGAAAATGGCCGTTTTCATTGAAAAGCCTCCCGCTCAAGTTCAAACTGACATGAAACTATAAAAATACTAATGAAACTTGGCACAAATGTTAACTGGATCATAGCCTCTGTAACAGAATACTCAATTTTTAATTTCCTGTAACATTGGCTACGGGGGACATCTCAAAATTTACAAAAATCACTATTTTGCATTGTTTTTTTCCAGCAAAACTGATTTCAAAGTGATACAACTTCTCAATGGATTGAGATAGAGTAAAAGGCTTTTCAGGGTTGGTTACACGTTACCTTACAATCGACGTCAGGCCATTTTAAGCCTCTATCAAGTCCTAAGTTTTTTTCGCGATGGGGGGACTGCCACCCCCTTAACTCCCCCACCCCACAAAAAAACAGAAGGGGGCACATCACTACATCATAGGTTTGTTGATTCATTATCATGTTTAGCAATAATGTTTTATCCAAACACCGTTGTTTTGATGTTATTACAATATGGATGATGCTATGCAATCAATTTATGTTAATGCTTAACGATACTGTATGATTTGTTTTGTGTTTCTTGTTTTATTTTGTTTCTATACTTAATAACAGGCTATGCTTGAGTTCATTTTTCTCACACATTTACCAGTTAATCAAATAACAATATTTTTATTAAGATAAATTTATTCAAAATATGGAAGTGGCCCATCCAAACGTAAATTGTCGGTGAAAGGTAACAAAAATAATTTGACTTGTCGCCATAAAAATATAAACGGGAATTATATAAATACATTTTCAATATTTTACCAGGTTTAGCTGATTAACCTATAAATGCTTAATTTTGGCTTGGTAAAAGCGCGGGACTTGATGCGCATGTTTTAGAGGGAGTTTGCCGATATGATAATCCAACACACATGCCGGCATAGTCTGCGAATGACTTGCTAAGAAACTTAATATAAAATGTATAAGTTTTATCAATTACACACATACTTTCTCATGAATTTACGATTCATCGTTATTCTTTGGTTGTGCTGAAAGTAATGTATATAGCTTATCAATCGGATAGTTCTTACTTCGTTCATGTACATTTTGGATATATTTTGAATTCTTTCAAAGACAGTTTTTTTTTTAATTTGCACTAGGGTAATAAGAAGACGGGCAAATGATTATTATCACATTTTGTTTTGCATAATTTCAAATTTACACAATGCTAATTAAAATGCATGCAGATGATTATTTCAAATAAGTTTTTGCATATTTACAAATTTGATTAGAGATAATTTTGAAATATTCCTTGGTAGGTACAAATTCATAAAAGGACAGTTTTACATTTGTTTAAGGACAGTTCTAATTTTGTTTCATTCAGAATACACCCCCTAATAATGTTTAATGACTCTAGGTCAAATACTTTTTGAGTTACGTGCGACACAAAAGAGAACGGACGGACGGATGGACAGGGGTAAATCTAAATGCCGCCCCTCACCCCTAACAAAAAGCGTTTTAAGTTTTACTGTCTGGTTTTAGTCTTGACAAAGGATAAAATTTTGTTACGGAGTCCGAGTGGGATTATTTAGTAAATAAAGACCTTATCCCATTTTCAGGACTAAACTAGGCAGTAAAACTTTTAACGTCCTTTTAAAGTATTTAAAGTACTAATGGCAATCCTTGGTGCGCTTCATTCTTTATATTCTAACGATTTCATAAAGTAAAACATATTATACCTTCGAGTCGACGGGATGTTTACAAAAATACCGTGTGATTGGGAGCATTTTGCAGGTGTGTGATAATGTAGTATCCTACAATTGTAGTCTCCAAATACAAAATAGAGGAAACATGCTCAAATTTCCAATACAATCTTGTAATTTGAAAGGAGAATTAAATTGATTGAACCTTTGTAAACAGCTTTTTATTCCACTAAAAGAATATATTATTTTAGCACAAGTCATTATGAAAAGGTAACATTCTGCTTATTGACAAACAATTATTAATGTGTTTGAAATCAAGTAAATATCATTACAACAAACCAAACAAATCATGTTTAATTAATACAAAAAACTTTCTAAATTTAGATTTCTTTCTGTTGTTAAGCTCATTCAGAAAATCTATGACAAACACCACTGAAATTTAGAGAACAAATATTCATTTTCTAACTAAGCAAGCTTTAAAAAAACGTTTGCAGTCCGACACTTTGTATACTTTTTTTGAATGTATTGAAAGGGGATCTAAATGATATGTGTGATTGTTCGAGCAACATTTTTTTTCAGCATACAATTTTAAACTTAAGCACAATTTACATTCGTCTTCATCTGTACATTTTATTGTATCTATTAATTACCTGAATTTAAGTTTTGTTCACTTTTTGCGTAATGGGCAAGGAAAGTATTGTGTAAACTTTCTGTAACAAATTATAGTGACATCATTTCCATGCTAGGGTAAATGTGAAAGTTAAAGTAAGATTTCGTTATGCCATGTTTCCTTTCAATTGATAAATAATAAAAACCATCAGAATTTAACAGGAGTTATAAAAAAAAGTTTATAAAAAAGGGTTGGACAGTCATTTTTTATATATATTTTAGAAAGATTAATATTTTATCATAAACATTTTCGAAGATCAACTGCAGGTCAATCAACATTTTAACAGTCAGTCTTTTGAAATATAAAGTCAATTTAGCTTAACTTAACAATAAAAGAATTAGCATAATGTCACTTTAAGTCATTGACTATTGACTTTATGATATTTTTTTCCAATTTTCACAAACATATACCCTTAAAGAACAAGTGAAAAATGACAGGAAATACCATCTTTTTTACTAGAAATTTACGAAACTTTATTTTTTTGTCAGAATATAAACAAGACGAACAATAGATATTCATTTATTATATACTTATAAATGAAAATTTTGTGACATTTTAATAAAATAAAATTGTTATATTCATTTTCCATATTTTCATGTACTAAGAAATTCACTGCTGTGAAGCATATTTTCCGTATTTTCAGTGGTGTCATGCCCGACTACTTTCTTCTAAATTCATCCAATACACAAAATTTTAAGGGAAGTATTTGAAATTGTTATATCACAAAATATATCAAAATGTATAAATATTATGATAAACTCAAAATTTGAGTTTTTTTCTATAAATGCAGGATCATATTTCACTAATGGCTACCGCCACTCATGACATATTTATTTGCATACCACTAGATGAAAATAAATTATGTATTTATAGAAAAAAACTTGAATATTCTAATTTATTCAAACACAATCATTGCACAAATAAATGTATGCAGAGAGAGAAAATGCATGTTATTAAAAGAGAAACATATCTGGTATAAAGTAATAAATACAAAATGAAATTCTAAAAAAAAATGAAAAATCCCTATTCATTCAAAACGATTCATTGTACAAAATTGAAATGCATGGGAAAATATTATACATTATTAAAAAAGAAGCATGTCTGTTAAAATAGTAACTAATACAAAATGAAATTCTAAAAAAAAACTGAGAGAATTATCTATTTATTCAAAACACAATCAGTGTACAAATGCATGGGGTGATAATGTATAGTATTAAAAAAAAGAAACAAATCTGGTAAAATAGTCATTAATACAAAATGAAATTCTAAATGAAACATGTAACAATCAATAAAAATACCAAAAGGAAATTATTACTCCTAGTACTTTTAACACACACAAATCCGTTTTTTTTTAATTATATATGTTTAAAAATTAAGAAAATACGTGATAAGGAATAGTCACGTGATAAGGAACAGTCAGTAATATTTTATTGTCAGTGCCTTTGAGCAGCGTAGTAATTTAGGCTGTAAAACTCAAATTTTAAATGTTTGTCGAATATTCAGCTACATTGGTTAACACTCAAACGATGTAAAACTGTACAGTTTCTTGTTATTTGTGATTTAATGAAAGTTAAGAATGTAAGTTTCCTCTGAACTGACTCCATCAGGATCTGTAACCTTCTACATAGGCCGGAAAACATTTATACAACTGGAACTGAAATGTACAAATTTAAATGAATCTTAAAACAAGAACTAAGAGAAATCGCCACAGCCTCTAGGACAATTTAAATTTGATTGTTTTTGAGTGTGGTTTTCACGTGGATTTTAACATCGATTTCAAACTAGATTTCTTACACACTGTGGGCAGTTATTTCTGGACAACGAAGACAATAGATATTTTTAGAATGCAGACATATTTTTTAAAAAAAGCTGCCTTTATTTTGTAGAACTCTTAATATCTATGTACATGCATGTATTTTATTAAGTTAAAATTTAATTAAATTTGTTACATTTGTAAAGATTTCTTTTCATTATAATGGATACAATGTTTTTGTAAGAGAAATTTCATTTGAGAGTAAACTGGCCTTAGTGTCTTAAAAACAAATTCTATAAATTTATTCATTTAAAGATATACTATGCTTAAGTTTGAAAATATTGACAACTACTACACAGCCTCTTTGTAAATATGAAATAAACATGACTCCGCTTTGAACATTCAAAGTAGATATGATTTGTTTTAAACTCTATACACTATTAGTGGTCACAATATGAATATATAGTATCATTTAAAAAATGGCAGTTTTTTAAGACAAGACCAACTTCACTTGACCTTAAATAGGAAATACAGCTTTCAATACAAAATTTGAACATTTTTTAACTTAAATTAAAAACATTCAGTAAGGATTTCATGGATTTCAATAAATTTTCTTGAAAATAATATTTTACTCAAAGATTAACATAGTATGAAAGTCTTGTGTTATTATCACTCAGACACAAGGACAATATGAAACACTTGCACATTTATATAACAATGAATAGAATAGCAAATGAGAAATCAACTTGGTACGAAAATGGTAAATAATTAAAATATGTATAAATAGCTTAGCAGACACAAATGCAGCATGAAATCAATTGAACGCATCAGAAAACAACCCGTAATGCCACTTACTTATTTTGATTGACATTTTGAATTCTAAAAGAAATATAATTCTATAACAGCTCTTGAAATAAATAAAAAAAAGGTTCCAATATTCCTACTTGAATAATGTTTAATCACCCTTAGGATATGTTGCCTGCTTTTTAACTTTGTCTTTTGACGTCTTATCTGTGATATGCAGACTTCATAACCTCTGATGCCCTTTCAAAATTTCATTTTGTTTAGTTCCGCCCATTGTTTTCTCGCTTAGGGCCCACAAGCTTTTTATTACTGGGGACCATACGCCAGCTTTTCATGGGAATGGGCACTACTGGTGTCACATTAAAAGGGTTGCATGATAACCGCCGTATGAACACATCTGCGGATGTTTCTAAATTCAAAAATTTACCATTTCATGTTTAAATGTTGAATTCTGCTTAAGCCAGTGCTAGGGGGCGTGGACGGTAGTTTGCACTTTACAGTTCCGTCCATGAACAGACCCAATCAAACCGAGCCTGCAACATTTTCAATTTTGACGTGTTGGGCTTTCTTTAGGGCATCTTATTTTCTCTATTTAAAAGTTGTTTATTGTTACCTATTCATATTTATTTAAAACATGTCAAAGGTAGTTCACTTTTTAAAACCTCAATATCAACTTCAACGTTTTTTAACGCCATTTGTTTTTCCTGGCATTCAACTAATACAACACTTTCGACGACAGTGAACAAGAGTTTTAAATCGAGATAGAGAAAAAGTCAGCCAGGTTAAGCTAACAAAATAAAAACATTTTTAAAAATTGTTTTGACTAAAGTAGATACCTCATCAACATCTCCTGTATATGATTCTAACTGACTGCCGGCTCCAAGAATCACTCCACTCTTTCTGATCAGAATATCGCCTAAAACAAGGAAGCATTGTGATTAATTAATGTATGTTTGTTTGATCAGGTTTTATGTCACGTTGTTCTATAAACGTCAATTTTGAGACCCCATGTTTCATTACTGGTTTAATTGAGATTGAGTAGTGAATATAACAATATCATCAGCAAACAAACAAAATGAAATACATTGATAAATGTTCAAGATCCTTATATGTCATAGTATCAAAGTTTACATTCTCAGAACTATCATTGATAAATAATGTAAACAGCAGGGGAGATAATGGGTCGCCTTGTTTTAATCCAATTGTAAAATCGAAAAAAAAAATAGATTCATCCATAGTATTTGATATTTTTACACATGTTTTTATATTGTTATAGATATGTTTAATCATGTTTGTCATGTTACAGCTGACATCTGCTTTAATAAGTATAATCCATAGGGCATTTACAATATCACTACAAACAATACAAATGTGTTAACAATACAACCCAAACAATAACTGAACACTGATACTTATAAGAAACTCAATATTTGTGTAAACAAGATAAGTTACTAGTGCATTTGTCGGTCTGTAATTGATAACTTTTGGTAGTAAATAATTTGTTGCAATGTCAGGAATGCAACATGTACGTGCCTGTTTATAGAAATGATTCTTAATAAAGTAAAATGTACATTGCTTTAAAGATTTTCCCTCTTTGTTTCTTTTTTTATCTACCGGTAAACAAAGTAAAGACACGACGGAACAAGGCACATGGTTGGCCACTGACATAGATTTTACATTCATATTTAGCTGATGACTTCAAATAAATTTTTAAAAAAATCATTCACAATTCACAATAGCTTACCAATAAGTGGTGCTGACTGGACCATTGCTGGGCCTGTTCCATCATCAATTATACCATACAATTTGCTGCCATCATACATGAATGTCGCTTCATTCCATACATTCTACAATAACAATAACAACAAAATGTTTAAGTTTAAATCATAATTATGAAATAGAGCCGAAATAGAAAAGCATTTATCAATGACAAATGTTCTACATTTGGGCGAAAGTTTAAGCATTGATCTCTGTCAAGCCTCTTAAATAAACAACAAAACAAAAAGGTACTCAAAATTCTGCGTTAAAGCTTTCTGATTCAGAAATCATCGCCTATTTCAAACCTTTGACTAGATATGAAAGACGTATGAAACATAAATGCAAATATATGTATAGGGAAGTGTGCAGTAACCACGAAATGCCCATAAAAGCCAAATGATGTCCTTAGATATATACTTAATAGAACATACAATACAATTAAACAAACATAAATTCAATTAAAGCATTCTTTATGTCCCTAACATAATATACCATCAACTGCACTAGGTTTGAGGAAACCTTTTTATTGCTTATGTTTCAGTTTTATGCAGAGGCCATTTTGCAAAAGTTTCCATTATTTGTATAGGTAAACAAAACTTACAGCATTTCTCAGTGGGATGGCGACTTGCTGTGTTTCTAAAGCTAAAGTTGTGCCTGTGACGGCTGAGAAGACAATGGTAGTTGCAGAAGACGATCGCACGACCCTGATAGAAATACTCGGATTTTCTCCTTCGCTGTAAACACAGTTTGTTAGGAGGGCTTCGTTACTCCTGCCTGTTAAAGAAAATATTTTTAAAAAATCAGCACAATTAATGTTATTTATATTCCGGAGAAATGTGTCTACAATTAAGGATCAACACCTTGAAACTTCATGAAATTTATAAGAATGATATATTAATATGAGCAGAAAAGTCCAAACGGGCTGATTAACTATAAACTGGTCGCTAAATTCAAGATTGTCTTCATCATACGGATATTTTTAGTATGCATCATAAAGCAGCACGCTTACAGATTCATGTTATTTGTCATGAAAATTTAAAGAAAATGTATTTAAAAGTAGAATATTGTAAAGTGAACAAAAATGTTATTTATATATTACAAATGGCACTTACAATCCACGTAAATTATCAAAAGAGATCAAAATATGGAACAACCGCCCATACTGTGTCACGCAGTAGAAATATGGTGATAAATACTGCAAAATCAGCCATAAATAGCATATAGCATGTTAATTACCGGTTGAAGCTTAAATGTTTTTACTTATCAAATTTTTTGGGTACATTTTCCTCAATTTCAGTTTTTTTTTAATTTTGATTCATCTTAAGGCATGCAGCTTTAATATTTTTAATATCATAAATAAATTGCTCAATACAGTATTTTGTTGTTATTTGAATTAAAAACATTATTAAAGTTACCTGATGCTGATGGCCTAAATCGGATACGGAGGACCAGTTTCTGTGCGAAAGAATCCATAGAAAACCTATAAATATTCATCAAACCGTTTCCGGTGAACTGCGCATGCCCGTTGAGCAACTCGACAAATTGAGTTCCGACGTAGGCTCCTCCTGCCGTGTCACTGAAGTCATTCTCAAATGTAAAATTTGCTGTTGGATTGCAGTCTGTAAAATGTAAATATAAATGAGCCACGTCATATCATGTTGATGACGTCAAATTCATGAGCGTTGACAAACAATACAATATTAAAGTGACATTATGCCCATAGTCTATATGTGTAAATGACTAGTGAACAGGTATTAATCATGAAAATGATTTGGCATTTTGTCATAACTGTGTTCAGTTTTATATTAAGCAAAGAAAGAATAATCAATAATCCACGTGACCAAAGGAAATTTTAATAAATATCGTTAACGCTCAATCCTGAAAAGAGCGAGGCAGTGTTTTTAATTCAGGTAGTTTTTATATTGTTTCATATAAATGTTAACATTTCTTATCATCAATCATAGCTTGAGAATTGATAATTTTGTAAAATATATTTTTAATCTATCTTATTAATAATTAACAATGACATAGTACAATTATAATTGATTTTTGAATTAATTAATCAACATATTTAATAATACAGCTATAATTTCAATAGTATTCGTGTGTATTGCAAATTTTTCACGGATATATTTATTTTCGTATTTGTTGAGACTGAAAACAAGAGGCATATGTACTGTGTATAATTGACGAATATCAAATTTCTTATAATCAGAGTGATGTACATGTAACAAAAAACAGCAACAACAACAGGTAGATAAATAAAGAGGGGATACCATCGAGTTTCCCAGTCTTTGGCCTAGTATCATGAACGTCACAGTTGCAACTTTCATTGTTGAACACTGTTCCAGGCGGACATGACATTGAAATGTTGCCATGACCTTCTACGTACTGGATGTACTTCCGGTTGTCGGTTGTATCCGGGTACTTGTCACAAACTGTAATAATAGATATAAGATGTATGTTTGTATCAGGAAATACGGGGTCTGTGATAAAATGCATTTGCATGGTCCCATTTGTTTTTTTATAATACTGATTAAGATATACTATGCTCATCATTGAGTAAAATATTTTAAAGGGACTCCACTGAGGTTTAAATGCCTTAAAACATAACATTTGAATTTCTAGCATAAATGAGCTGTGACACTTTTAACAGAAATATAGGCAAAGATAGTCAAGAAATATACTTTAGAACAATTGAAAATCGTATTTTTAAGCTTTTCTTAGCACGATTTGACTGAAAAACGTTTAAACGCTTTTCATATTTGGTCGTTTTCTTACAATTTGAATAATTATATTTGCACTAATTATTGTACTATTGACGCAAATGCTTAATTAAATGTTTATACTTTAAATAATTGCTTGAGTGATAAATTATAGAGAAAACATGGGCATGAAATTTTTTAAAACAACGTTATGTACCGGCCGGCACATAATTACTTTGCTACTATATCGCATTCTGTAGTGATTTGAAAGATAACAGTTGTACAATTTATCTTTTTGCTAGTACCGGTCCAATACACAAAATGATTAAGCGTTGCATATTTTATAATACAAACACGTAAACATATAAAGTAAATCAGACAATAGACTAAATCATAGCCGACTTAAAGCATGCATATCTCCAGATCCATGCAAATTTTGAAGAGGTATAAATATTGTAAAAATACTGCAATTTCAGATGTCATTTATCGCACTTAACGTGTTAATTATTACTTGAAATTTGAATTTTTTTACTTTTCCGAAAATCTAAGTGCATATTTCTAGAAATATTTCGGATCGTCTAGAGGCATGTAGCTTTAAGTACTTTAATTTCTGATAACACGTAATCTTTAGTGATATTTGGACAGCATTTCTCACAATACTACATACAAGTAATTAGTTATTAATTTCCTCACCTTCAGGATGTATCAGATGATTCTCGTCATCTCCGTCGCACGTGTCCATGCACGTGGGGTTGAGAACACACCCCTTTCCAGCAACGTAGGCGTGGTTTATTGGACAACAAGCGCGTACGCTTTGCTTATTTACACACATGACATAGCCGCTACAAAGCTCCTCGATATCGTAAGATACAACCCCGGATATTAAACAAGGATCTGTAAAATCAAAGTAAATTCCAATTGGTGAAATTTAGAATGCTCTATGTAAATCAGCCGCCAATGTTGCTTGTTTCAGTCTTTCCGTAAGTAAAAATGCCACGCCGACTCAGTTGCAGATAAACTTGGTGACTTCTCAGCTTATCTGATGGTCGAACAACTCAGCATAATTACTACGACAAACGGGCACCTAAGTAAATTGACTCCTTGCCCCTAGCAATATTTAACAAGTTTAGTTAATGTGAGTAATTCAGTATCCACGAATTTATAACTAGTCAAACGGCCATACATTCTATGTAATTTAACATTCCTTGTCGGTTTCTTTCAGTCATTCCAGATACTTCACTATTTTGGTGATTGTAGTTCCTAAATGAAGCAAAAAAAGTGTTTTCTTACTTAATACTTCGATTGTTTTGATTGAACATTCGTAAAAATTCGTCACATTCCGGCTAATTTCGGCACATTCCGTATAAAGTAGCGTTTTACTGATGAGATGGCTCACGACTTGCTGCCCTTGCTCATATCGATCATTAAGAAAGAAAATAGTCAAACTATGTCAAACTTATACGAACGAATAAACGTCAACATATAAATCTATATATTACACTCACCATGTTCACATTTCACGTGCTCTGGTCGTCTGCAAGTGGACAGATACTGATCCCAAAATAGCCCGTCTCTACATTTCTTGGAAATGTAGGTCCGTTTACCATTCTCGTCTGCTATAATTTGTATGAACTTTTCACAGCTGTGAGGATGATTTGTATATCCATGTTTACCATCTATCATACAGTCTGGGCAGTCAAAATCTGGAAAAAAATATCACCCAAGATGCTTAATTAAAAGTAATAATGACGCAAGGTGTTTTCCTTAATCTTTATATCAGGTTGGATAGCTTAAAAAGGGTCATGTGATGTCAATAAAACCTGAGTCTTTTTCTATGAGGTTTTCTTGACATCAAAGGACCGGATTTTTCTCCTTTTTGAGATTCGTACTATTCGATGTAGGTCTTGACCAATAACTTTCAGATCATTTACTCAATTTAAATTTATATTTCCTTCTTTTTTCCAGAATTTAGAGTTTAGTTATGAAAAATAGCCCAAAATATGAAATACTTTAAGAAAGGCTTTGTAAAGAATCGTACGAAAATCTAATTTTCTTTGTTATTCAATGTATCACGTCTGTATTGTGTCAAATCAATGTGCCCTAGTTGGTCTTTGTTAGAATTTACGTAGTTATAACATTGCCAAGTCCACGGTTTAGACATGCTTTTAAAAACTTGCCTGCGATTTGTTTAGTAACAAATCCTTTTTTGAAAATTCGTACTTTTCGGGTAAAAATGTGTTTTTTTATTTATACAAAAATAAACTGTTTTAAGATGAAAATGGAATAATGAAAAATTTATAAAGCTTATTGAAAGAGATAGACTCCCGTACATTAAGTCATCACTTTTATTCAGTAAAATGTTTTTTCTACGTACGGAATTTTCAATAAATAAACATGAAAAAATAACCTATTGATTAATACATTAATACTTTAACCCTTGTTGACATTTTGTCTGCATATTCTACACGTAAAATGTTCCGATGAAATATAATATAAGTTCAACGGAACAGCACAAAGACATAAATGAACTTCATATTACCTTCTAATCTGTCACTTTCGGGCGTGGTTGTTGCCGCTGTTGTGGGAGTTGTTGTTGTAATCGCTGACAGATTAAAAAAAACATTGTATACTAATTATTGCAAGAATTTAGGATCAATATATTTAAATGATACATATTTCTTGCTTTTAAAATCTTGAAAAACGAAATTTTATCGTAAGTCTTTGCTCAATGGGAATGTCTAAATTTGAATATTTCTGACAGTCTATTCCGAATAAACCGTCCTCAAAAGCGTTCATTTTACCATTCAATCTAGACACATCAAATTAAACTAAAGTTGAAGTCCATATTTGGATGACTTTCATAATAGAAATCAAGAAACCCATAGATGCAAAGTACTATCCAACTAGCCAATGAAAAGCCCGTGGTTTTACTCAAGTTCCTGTTCGTGCCTGAAAAAAAATGCACGGATAGTTGATCTGAGCCTAACGTGTTCTTCTGCCAGTTTAGCTGGTTTGCCGCCATATAACCTTTCAGGTGTTAGTTCGTGCCTGAAATAATGTACGGAGGAGTACCTGGCTACTAGTTTAGCTGGAAGGTCTCCATGTGATCTTTACAGTGTTGGTGCGACGTGAAATCACACGGACAAAAATACCAAGAAAAGTCACAAAATTATACATACGGGTACAAATATAGTCTTTGATAGCGTCCTGAATTGTTGTCACCACATCAAGGATGTTGTCCGTCTCATAAATAGAAGTTGGTGCGCTGGCGATGTTAATCAGTTCCTGTCTTTAAAATAAATTTTATTTCATGATAATTATTGTTTAGTTAAAAAAAATAACAACAATAAAAAATATTTGTATCATGCTTGTATTTTATTTTAAGCACACACTTCATTTGTATTACAAGTAATTAAAATTACATAAAATTCACTTTTCATCAATATATTGCGATTTAAACTCTACATTGGACTATAAATTTATTTCGATTAAGAAATATCAAATTTACTTTTATTATAAATATGTTTTGAATAAAATGATAAACTTTACTCGGATTATAAACATATTTCGATTAAGAAACATAACATAAATATATTTTGATAAAAATAAGAAAAATAAAATCCATTTGTATTATAAATATGGTTCGATTAAATACATAAATTTTTTTGATTAAAACAATAGATTTTACTTGTATTATATACATAATTCGATTTAAAAAAATTCACTTGAATGTATCATAAATACATTTTTATTTTATATAAATTCAAACTTCTTATATAAATACATTTTAATTATAGGCCCAATAAACCCGAGAAATGAAGTAATCTTTTTGTTTTCGGTACAAAGGGTAAATATGAGTTTTAAAATTAATATCGATGTAAAAGTGCATTTAGAAAAAGGCTGTAAGATGCATTTCATTTTAAACAATAATACTTAATTTTAAATAATATGTGATAAAGGTAATATGTAAACAAGGAAGCATTTTCACTCCGATGCAAAATACTAGATCATTATAACACTGTCAAAATGCAAAAAAGCAAAAGATGACACCAATGTCTCTGTTTGTACCATACAATAAAGATAATGATAATTTCTATAAAGATAATTTCGATAAAGATAATTTCGATAAAGATAATTTCATACTTGAAAATGTTATCTCCGACTCCAATGGCAATTATGTTAATCCCCTCTTCACGTGCAGAACGTGCTTGCTGCGCTGTTGCATTCAGGTTGACAGATTTACCATCGGTTATGACGATTCCAACTTTAGTGACGTCTGCGCGACCTATATTTAGAAATTATCAGGATTATCATAGGGTCTAAATATAAACACTTGGGATGATAGAGATGCAAATGAATCAACTGTAATTGGTGATAGGCCTTTCTAGTGATTGTTAACGGAAAACCATGCCCGGTTTTGGCTCAGGGAATACAGTCAAGCTGACCAAACCTACGGTGATTAGCTTTTCTAGTAGTTCTTAACGGTAAACCAAGCCCGGCTCTAGAATTAGGGAATACAGTCAAGCTCTTCTTGAGATGGAGATGGCGATGATAATGGAAGAGCAATGTTAAAAGGATGATGATGATGACGATGACGATGATGATGATGATAATGAAAATAACTTCCTTTGCGGTCATGACCATGACGATTTCGTGATCATCAATTTACAATGTTTAAAGGGTCTCAACTGAAGTCCAAAAGCCTAAAAACATAAATTTAGTTTTCTTATATAGATCAACTGGAACGACTTAAACAAAAAAGATAGGCAAAAGGTGGTTTACGAAATAACCTCAAAAATAAAATGAAAATCCTATTTTAAGTGCAAGTCTTAGTCCGATTTGGGTGAAAAGCATTTCAACGCTTTTCAAAGAATAGTATTTCCAGGAAAAATTGTGTGAGCGAAAATCTAAAAGTTTACACTCAAGTTATTAGTCTACACCTATAGAAAGTGGTATATTAATATATTAAAATTACTTCCACTTCCGTTATGTCCAAAAACCTCAGTGGAGTCCCTGTAAAAAAAGATGTATCAGACAGTAATTAAATACCTCGTTCTTGGAATTCCTCACGCATCTCTTTGATAGCTTTATATGTTGCCGTTCCTGACCGAACTCTTCGGAGTATCTGCATACGTTTTTCTAAGAGCCTGAAGAAGAAAAAAAAAACAGCTTGCGAAATACAAACGCATGAAAACTGTTTGAATTATACTTATAAAAACAATAATTATATTATGTTGATTTCCTATGGACGTTTGGGAACTTTAACTCCCGAACGTTTGAAATCACTTTACACTGACAAATAATAATTATTTAGTACACAAACTTTTTTATCTCAAACGTTCCGAGGGGGTTAAACCCCTGTTTTTCAAGGAGTTTATGTTTATTTTTAAAACATGTATAAACCACATATTTATCTTCTTACATGTGTTATCTCACAGACACTTGGAGTGTGGAGCTCAAAAAGCCTTTAAAATCCAAATAAAATGCATATTTGTCAATCCCAGCACATGTACTGACCAAATATATCAAAAAAACTTAATGTGAGCCGTTTATTTGGATTTTAAAGGCGTTTTGAGCTCCACACCCCAAGTGTCTGTGTCTTATCTAACACTATGTTATATATATACAAATATATGTTGTACGTGACAAATACTTTTAGTATACGTGACAAATACTTTTAGTATGGAACAAACTCCGCGCACCGATAACGCTATCCTGTAAGTGGATATCACTGCGTGGGAGATTGATAACTGCGTTAAATACCACGTGCGCTATATAGTCATACTAACGTATTCTCCAAATTCTATTTTCAATTTTATGATACAAAATATCAATGAAAATAAATGATAGTGCTCGTAGAAACATACATTTTAGAAAACAAGTATGACCCTCATTTTGGGAAAATGTTCCTAAGATATATTTATGAAATTATGTTTAGTCATTTTAAAGTACAAGCACCAAACCCTTACTTGTATTTCATTTTTGCGAAGTTTTCATTTTTTCCAAAATTTGGACCGTGGAGAGGTATGCGGTCATAGACATCCGTTCCAAACACGTTTGCACCCATATGGATACGGTCTAACTGGACGTCGAATTCTCTCAATACCTGCAAAACAGTATTACAGTCAATATGTGAATAATACATACCAAAATAATTTGGGTAATGCATATACGTGTGTATTTTGAAATACATGTAGTGAAATATGGTGTTGTTTACGTATCATTTCCACTTGCCCCTCAACGTTGTGGGTTCGAATTTCCACAAGGACTTTGGATTCTTTGTTGTGAGGAAGCTATCCAGCTAGCTTACGGAACAGGTGCCCGTCGGTGCCTTAAATAATACACGGAATGGCACCTGATGTCTTCCTCCACCAGTAAAGTTGGAATGTTGCCATATGACCATTACTGTGTCAGTGTGGCGTAAAAATCAATCAAACAAACAAACGTATCATTTCAGTAAAACGTATCATTTCAGTAAATATACAAGTAAACTATACAATATGAAACAAAGTGATCCATCGGAAGCATTAATCACAACAAAATAACATGGAAATTGCAGACTCGGTTTGATTGAGTCTGTACATAGGGGATAATGTAAAAGTGCATCATCCCTCTAGCCCCCTACCACCGGCTTGAGCGGTACTCAATTCATGGTAATTTGTTTGGAGTGTGACAAAAAGGAATGGACAACCACACTAAATTCCGCATTCCGGTATGACAATGAATGAAACATGTAAAAATTGGCGAGAAAAACAACAACAACAAACAAAAAAAAAAACAATATTTGTTCATTTTGTGATCAAGCATTTTAGGGCTCTGCTCCAACACTGTATTGAGTTAAATCCCTAATTTTTAGCGGGATTTGTTGGTGAAATGACTCGTGTGCCACTCGAGAATGTCGGGTTTTTGTTGTTGTTGTTGTTTTTTGGAGTTGTTTTTGGGGTTGTTGTAAGTTGTTTTATTATTATTATTATTTTTCTTATTTATTCATTTTTGTTTCTTTGCACTTAATTATGGATTCCATTTTACATTTTTTTCTTATTCAGGCATTTTTTGCGGTTTTTGTTAGATTGTTGCCAATGTATAAAAACATCTCAATATATTAAAATATAAGTATTGTCGCTATAATATCAACAGTCAAGACGTGAATATTTTTTCTGTGCAAATTAAAATTTGTTTGCTATTTAATTAAAGAAAGAAATTATGCCTTATTACAAACGAAAAGGAAAGGCAGTTTGGCTGTTTGGTTGTGTAAAAGTATCAATACATCTGGGGATGTTTCAAAATACAAAAAAAATGCACCACTTCATGTTTCAAGGTTGGATTCAGCTTTAGCCGGTGCTCCGGGGCGGACGGAGGTTTGCACACTACTACCGGGTGTGAACAGGCTCATTCAAGCCGAGCCTGCAACATTTTTACTTTTGTTGCTTTGATCATTTAACTTAGGGATTCAGGGATTCTGTTGTTGTTGTTGTTGTTTTGTTTTTTATATTAACGTTTTGCAGAGATGTTTTTTGTTTTTTTTAAACGTTTTGCAGAGATGTTGAAATACAAATGTACAAAATGATATAGAATAAATATATTGTTGTGTTTTGAGTTCTTCTATGAAAACTATAGAAATCTTGTCAATTTAATGTTTATAAATGTTTTAGTTGTACCTCTATCATGAACTGTTTGCTCTTGGCGAAATCAGTGTCGGACAAGCTATCAGAACCATCTATGACGAAAAATAAGTCTGCTTTTACATTGCAATCAAGGTCTGAAATAAATAATAAAATAGTCGGTATGTTTTGTTTGCTTAATACCCAAATTGAAGTTTGAAAACAAAGGACTTTAACATGACGACATTGCGATGGAATCTTAAAAGATATGGCAAAATAATTTAGTCATAAGTCTGAACAAAAATCATTTATCAATAAATACAAATATTTTTTTTTAAAAATATACAGTACATGTAAATTACAAATTATAACAATCATGTATTATGACAAATTATTTTCATCAGAAGAGTTTTTTATTCTTGCAAAACGGGTTTTCTTTAGAAATAACATTAATTAAGAGAAAAAAATCTTGACAAAAATTAATTTAAAAAAGTAATATATTGATCCATAAACTTATTTAAAATTTAAATGAAAAAATATCCAGCTATGTAGTTTACCTAATGCGGCACCGGAAACCGCGAAACATAGAACTATTCCAAATATTCTTCCAAACATTTTCCGAAATTCCATAAGCAAGTCCGTGATTTCAAATTTGCACCCTTCACACACATGAATCGTAGGGTATATAACACCTTTTTGCTAATGAAACACTGTGACCACCGGTTAATGCAGCGGTATCAGAAAATCTACGACAAATTGCCTAAAGAGAATAGGCCGTATAATATTTCCTTGCCGCAGTCCTTCTGTTAAATCAAACGGAATGGCCATAGTTCAAATTCACAAATAATAATCTAATGAATGTGGTATTGTCTCATCGTGTATAGTCGATACGTTAAAGATCATTCGCATGTGCATTGTTTAATAAGGTATTTAAGTGCAAATCAGGAGTGCAAACACCCTGCGACTATATATTTATTAGAAATCTACTTTTATATAATATAAAGGAAAAACTTAACTGTCACGCTTAAGCGCGGCAAAAAGAAAGCAAAGTATAGGGTCTGTGTTATTAAAACTAGATAAAACATCTAGATATCATCATATAGTGGATGTATTCGAAATAAAATGGTTAATTGGTTAATTTGAACAATCTTTTACCACAATAAATTGTCATTCGATTGCATTACATAATAATATATCCGAGGCCGATGAAAGTCTAAAACAAAATTCTCTTATAGAAGTATTACAACACATAAGAATGGAGCAAGACATTTAAAATTCACTAATAAACTGCTGTTTTAATAAAGGAAGTCAGGCGATTAGAAATAACAACATCATAATATTCGAATCAGTTTCATAAAGTTACTTACATAATTTGCAATTGAATTATTATTTAACAAGCATGTCAAATTTTAAAATGAAATATGATTATTGATATTATTTATTAACATAGCGTATCGTGGAAGTGGAATATAATATATGTAATAATGATCTTAAACACGTTTATTTATTTACAGCACGTTCGTTTGTTTTGGTATCTTTCGTTATATCAAATATATAAAGTTCGCTTTTTGGGCCGGGTATCTTAGGTATATTATCAGTAACGTTACATCTAATACAGATTTATTAAGTTCGCTTATTTCGAAACCTCCGTGATATAAGACATTCAGTTCTCTTGTTTTTTTATCCTTCGTGGTATTGAATATAATAAATTCGTTATTTAATCTTCCCTTATATAAAATATATTAAGTTCGCTTGTTTTTGTATCTTTTAAGTTGGCTAACTTTGTATCTGCCATGATTTAAGATAAAGATGTATCAAGTCCGATTATTTCTTATCTTCCTGATATAAGATAATATTAAGTACGCTTGTTTTGTAACTTCCACCGTGCGTGATACTGGATATTTCGCTTATTTAGTGTCGTCCGTGATTTAAAATATATTAAGTTTGCTTATTTTGTATCTTGCGTGATATAAGATAAAATTAGGTTACGAATTATTACAACGAATTAGTATATTTTGTACCTTCAGTAATGAACATATCAAGTTTAGTTATCTTATGTTGTATCTTTAGTGCCTTATTTATTGAATAGGACGTTTCCGTTTGGCATTGTCTTCAATGCCAAATGTATAAATAGAACTTTGCCGTTGATTTTGTATCTGCAGTGAAAAATATATATCAATTTAATGTAGGAACTTGTAGGCCTATTGCTATGTAGCTTATTGCTATGTATGTCTTGGTTTTGAATCTTTAGTGATAAGCATAAACCCATTTTTCTGCATTTGTTGAAGTTAAGCCCCGTCTGTATCCATAGATTTACTGGTAAACATATTTGCTTAACTCGGACATGAATGGTTAAAGATATTGGACAAATGATTTATTTATAGATATGCACTGCTCAAATAACTTGAATGTTTTCACTGTATTTTTTTTTCATTTGTAAGATCATTCTTCGATTTAATCTATGTAACCGGATAGCCTTAGGTCCGACTTTACTTACAGTAATGCACGGATATTTGGCATGTTAAAAGATTTTATCACCGATACATTTTGGTCTGGTCACTTTGCTATCGGCATTACAGTTAGACCGATCAAATTTACATTAGTGTTTCGGCTAAGATTTCATATTCGGAAGTGTACAAATCTTTTCATTTGCCATAAAACTTTTAGGTATGCAATGTACAATGTGTTTCAGTCGAAAAAATGTCCAATCTTTGGAAATGGACAATTCTTTTCACTTTCCATAAAACAAGATTTGAGCCTTGTCACGACAAAACCAACATAATGGGTTTGCAACCAGCATGGATCCAGACCAGCCTGCGCGTCCGCGCAGTCTGATCAGGATCCATGCTGTTCGCTCACAAACCCTATAACAAGTAGAGACACTGATAGCGAACAGTATGGATCCTGATCAGACTGCGCGGATGCGCAGGCTGGTCTGGATCCATGCTGGTCGCAAACCCATTATGTTGGTTTTGTCATGACGCGGCTCATTTAACTTTTGTAATATAAGATTGTCACAAGTATGTAATTTAAAATGTGGTAAAGTGTCCAATATGTAAAATCCGTATAATACACAGCGACTAACAGGGTTTTTATAAAGATTTACTTGAAACGTAATATATGTCAAATACTCGTATGACTAAATTTTAGATCTATTTAAGTTATTTCTTGCCTGTAGATCTGATTGTCACAGTATATGTTTCGCCTTCATTGTGAGAAAGCTTGTTTAGCCATAAACTCAAACTGTCCTTTACAGATAGGCATTAGACGAAGTATCAAAATATCTACTATGTCGGTGAAAGTAAAAGCAAATTATTATTTTGTGTAAGAAAACAATTTATAAAATCATTTAAAACAAATAAACTGGAAAAATAGACTAAAATTTTAAAGGGCAAGAATCTTTTGTCAGTTTACCTGCCGGCTTCATGGACAACGCCAGGTTTGTTCTCGAAATCCTGAAAATTACATACTCGGTATTGGTTTTCAGCGGTTAAAATTATAATCCGCATCGCTTTCAAAATTGTGAAAGCTCGTCGATGATTGGCTGTTTTAAAGGTCACGAGATGACCTCATATTGGTGCTCGTCAGATCCTAATGCGTAGCGTTATAATTTATTTATGAGATGAGTGGTTACATATCTTCACAATAATTGTTAACGGACACTTTCCATTCCCATAGCTTTAACATTGGTTGTGGCCGAATTATGGCACTTTGTAAACTTAGTAAACTTCTGGTTAATGTTTTGTTTGTTATTAAATATTCCTGCTACCACGGACTGAAATAAATGCTTAATGACATTATATTATACAGTACTTTTTTGTCACAGCAACACTGTAAATGAGATATGGCGACGTTCGAGTTTCACTGGTGGAGGAATACCTTATGTGCTCTTTTGTGCATCATTTCAGGCAAGAACAGATAACCGAGTAGAAGCTTAGACCTCCAGTAAGCTACCTGGACTTTATAGCTTCATCGCATGAAAGAGTCCCAAATCCCAAATTGGCGGGTGGTGAGATTCAAGTTGTTTCAAGTCAATGATCTTAATCACTTGGTAACCGTTCTGTCCAATATTGATATGCATAATCAATATTGGATTTATCATTAAAAACTAAAACAACAAGGCTATTATAACGGATTAAAATACAGAGTCTGCATTACAAAGGCTAGTATGATGCCATCATACATATAAAGTTATTTTTAAATATATCATGTACAAAAAGAAGAAAACTCTTATCACTAATAAAAAATATTTTATTGTGTAAGGCATACATGTATAACTATACACAGTATATCAATGAGCATACATATATAAAATGTGTTTACACAATGAAAATATGAACATGTACATGTATGAATATATGTATTCTCTTTATGCCAAAACTCTCCTACAGACCTGTCCATTATAGAATGTAAGCATTTAACATAATGCTTTCATGAAAATTAACAAAAAAATATATAATATATTTTGCCACATAACTCAAAAGTAGCGTTTTTGGAATCTTTAAAGTGCACCAAACCTGGTAAACTACGTCACCAGTTATAATCCTAACACTTAAAGGGACTCCACTGAGATTTTTGACAAGACAGGACTGGAAATACTTTTTAGAGATTGATGTTCCATTTCATGTAGGTTTTAGACCAAACAAATATTTTCAAAATTTCAGATCATTGGCTCACTCCCTTTTTTCAAGAATAATTAATATTCTAATTTGTGAAAATGGCCCAAAATTGAAAAGCATTAAAGGCTTGGCCTAAGAATAACATAAAAATAAGATATTCAATTTATTTCCGAATATTTTTCTTCATAATATTTTGCATATCTTTCTGTATGAAACGCCCCAGTTGATCTATATAAGAAATGCGAGATTTATTTTCTTAGATTTTTGGACCTCAGTGGAGTTCCTGTAATATTAAATAAATTATTATTGGCCATATTTTTCTGGCAAGAAGTGTAAAAGTCAGCCCTTTTTATCCTTAAACAACAGTATTTACAGTTACAGTAATTAAATATTGATGTTTTGAAACATAAACAAAGCAACTTCAAGAGTTCAATATTTATATGTCCTTACCTAAATAAGAAAACTATGGAAACAAATGATTTTACAAAAATAAATAAACTTGTATAATCATTTGGGAAGGTTTTAAAATCTTAAAGGTCAATAGCCACCCTTTTAATGTGCAAAATTTGGTATCAGGCTGTGAATAAAATCTAAAACTAGTTTAATATTCCAAAGCAATTTTCCATAAAATAATTATTATTTGAACCATACTTTCTTGTCTAATTCCTTGACCTAAACAGTACTGGTGTAACATGTTAGGAACCATGTCCTCTTCTTGATTTGCGAGGTAGGCCCCTTTAAAGCCATCTCAGCCATCTACCTTACATAGTGATATATACAATGTATAATGTCATGGATAAATGGTAAAAAGTATGTATGTATAAAAATGATTTAGAAAAAAAATCATCACTAGATATTAAGTAAAAATCACTCATGAAATTAAAGGCAAGTACTAAATTTAACAAAAAAAATATGTATTTTTTTGCTAAGATTCTAATATATATACAAATTAATTAAGCCATAATTACAAATTTTAAAGGTAAAATCAGTTTTAATGAACTATGGAAAATAATTTCACATTCAGAGCTATTTTCCCAAGGGTAATAAGCATTTTATATGCTCTTAAAACATCATTACAACATCATAAAAGTACCTTTATTTCTTATCTCAAGAAGGATATAATTATATTCATTTCAAAGGTTTAATGTGCTGTTAAAAGGCAACCTAAAAAAACACACTCACAAAATGATAAACAGATGCTGATAGATATGAGCAAATCATGTAAGCCATTTGAAATCATAAATTTGAGGGGAGAAAAAAAATCAATGTACAATTATTCTATACAATATTTACAACATTTCATGCAGAAATATAACTTTCAGCATTCTGACTTATCTAAACAGTTACTATAGCATAAGTCTCCAATTGCTTGTTCAGTGTCCAAGATCATTTTATTTTATTTTTTGGCTCAATTTTATGGCGAGCCAACACAGTTCATATGGCAACTTTCAAGCTTTAACAGTGGAGGAAGACCTCAGTTGCCCTTCCATGCACTATTTCAGACATGAGAGGGCACCCAAGGTAGAACCACTATTCTGTAAGCTACCTGTACAGCTTTTTAACATAAAAGAATCCAAAGTTCCTGGCGGGATAGAAACCTACAGACGTCAGTAGCATGGTTTGAAGTCAAGGACCATACCCACGCTACCAAGGACAAACTTCCAAGATCAAAATATTCTAATAACTGTTTTGCAGCTTAAACTATAGTAACTATTATAATAAGGCTTTATACATGTATTACATGTACTATGTACATTTTTGGTTTCGGTTTTTAGTTACCAAGACATGGTGGTGACCGTGTATGAAAACATAAAAAAGTAATATAATAATTATATATTAACAAGTGAGCACACTTTACCAATTCAAAAACACAATGATATCAATTATGATTTCAATTTTGTTTCATCATTTATCATTCTTTTTCAACTGAGTAAAAATGCTATAGATTAATACATGGTTTTGTTAAGAAAAGATCATTATTTCTATATGTATGAATTGTGTTGAAAGGTATAAAGAAAGCTATGTATAAAGATCTAAATTTTTTATCAAATTTGTAAATGGTATAATTATGTTGGTCTCATTAAAATTTGGTTGATTCCTGAATGTCAGAATGAGCTGTAACATTTGTCTTCTGTTATTTAATATACGAGTTTTGTATGTAAACAGAATAAAATATTCCAGAATAAAATATCATGCTGCTACCTTTTAGAAAGATTTTGTGCACACCACATTTGCTGTTAAAGAATATAATATTATACAAACATAATTATATTACTTTCATATCGTTTTTTTGTAACTTTTTTATAACAATTTTAAAGTAGTTCTTCTTTTTAACCATAGGCAGAAAATAAAACTTTTTACACTTGAACAATTCAATTATGTTAACAATTATTAATTTCATAACCATTGTGTTTCATAATCGGTTACATGTACAAAAATAATATCGTAATTAAAAATACATTATCATACATATATTTTTATGAAAGATTACTATATTTCTACTCAATATGGCACCAATTACCTATTAGTAAATATAATATAATTTATTTGTTTGTTATGTTGGATTTTAAGTCACAAAAACACTTTAAAGGTGATATGGTGACTTTCCTGCTTTACTGGTGCAGGAAGACCTCAGGTGTGACCTTTCGTGCATTATTTCAGGTTTCGTGCATTATTTCAGGTACGAATGGGCACCAGAGATGAACAACCCTGCCATCTGAAAGCAAGCTGGATAGCTCCCTCACCCTCGTCACATGACAGAATCCAAAGTCCCAAACGGGATTCAAACCCACAGTGGTAATTGACAAGTGAATGAAACTCAATGACCAAAACCATGGAGCCCCCTCCCCTTGAAATTTGATCGTTTAAAATTATATATAGTATACATCAAGCTATTTTATAACAAATAAATTTTTAACCTAAATAACACAGCACTTATTTCATTAAAAAATACATTTTTTTTTAAATCTAAATATGTGTAATTAGCATGTCCAGCTTTGAATTGTGAACAGTATATTTCAGTACTTTTGTGAAAAAGAACTTAAAAACCTATTTACACTTATACATGATTATTATACAAATTTTTCTTGGAAAAGTTTGTGTGAAGTTATAAATAAACCTTTTTCAACAGATACAGAGTAAAAATTGTTGTTTCTTAATATAAGAATTCAACACACAGAAATTATGAAAATATATGAAGGTTTTTTTCAACACTCTATTTGAATAGAATCTTAGGGGGAAAAAACCATCCTTAATTGGTTTAATATACAGAATTTTAGTTTGATTGTGTAGGAAGCTATAAGCTTATAGACACAGTTTCGAACCTAAACCAGTAATAAGCAATGAGTGTGAAGTTTCTTCCTCAAGGAACCAACGACTTGCCTCTGTCTGGGTTTGAACCCGTGCGGCTAGCTATCATTAGATTTCTAGTCTGACGCGTTTACCACTCGGCCATGTCGCCACTAACATCCTAAATTATCATTATGCAAGGAAAATTTTGCCCGATGATATAAATTTAAGAATAATTGTAAATATATAAAAAAATCAGCACTCTTTAAATTGAAACTAGTTAAAAAAAACCAAAAAACATCTTAAGTTATTTTTATTGTCTGATAATGATACAAATTTAGGACAAATTGTTTTACATAATAAATAATAAAAATAAAAATTCGGTAAAAAAACAAAAAACATTGTAAACAATTGAGTACTATTTAAGATTTCAAAATCTTTAAAAAAAGGGCGGTTTGAATTCTGCAGTAAGTCAGACAAAAAGTATTCTATATCATCACGTGTAAGAATTACATTTTAAGTGTACAACTTCAATTAGAACACGTGCAAAATTTACATTTTAACTCTGTAAAACTCATGAATTAAATGTGTACAGTCATGTAATACATTCAATATGAATAAAGCAAATCCAGCTCACATTAAAGGAGGACTAGCGTATATATTGTAATGAAATGCTATTTATTTACAAAATGCTTGGAATTCCGGGTTTCCTGAACGATTGAGAGATGTACATTGAAGTTAACACAAACAACAAAACCAACCTAGCTTCATAATGGTCACAGAAATAATATGGTCACAAACAATGATTTAAAATATTGCTGTAACACAAAGATGGTAGGTGACCCCAACATTGAAATATTCTAATGACAGTAAATAAAACAAGAGCTGTCACAGGAGACAGCCAAGCTCGACTAATAAAATACTGGACGCAGTTAGGAGGACAAAACTATGAAAGAAAAATCAATTATGTATAATTATGTATTAAGTTATAGTAAAAAAATGATATTTGTTAACATAAATTCTAAGATCAAGGGGAATAATTCTAGAAATAGTCATGCTAGAATTATGGACCTTGTCACACAACATTTGTGTAATGATAAGAAATATATATTTGAAGTTTGAAGTAGATACCTTAAAAAGTAAAGAAGTTATTATATTTCTTAAAGAAAATCCTAAGTTCAAAGAGAGATAAATGTGTAAATATTGCTTCAAGAGTTATGAACATTGTCACATAAAATGTAATTGATGATAAGGAATAAGAATTTGAAGTTTGAGGTAGATACCTTTAAAAATAAAAAAGTTATAATAAAAAATAACATTTTTCTAGTAAAAAAATCTAAGTTTATGGGGAGATAATTCTTGCAATATTGGTGCTACAGTTATGAACCTTGTCACATAAGATGTGGATGATGATAATGTAAATTTATTTGAAGTATGAAGTTGATCCCTTTAGAAATAAATAAGTAACAGAAAAAAATAATATTTTTTATGGAAAATTCTAAGTTCAAAGGGAGATAAATCTGAAAATATTGGTGCTAGAGTTATGAACCTTGTCACATAAGATGGGGATGATGATAACGTAAATATATTTGAAGTATGAGGTTGATCCCTTAAGAAATAAAGAAGAAACAGTAAGAAATAGTACTTTTTGAGGAAAATTCTAAGTTCAAGGGGAGATAAATCTGAAAATATTGGTGCTAGAGTTATGAACCTTGTCACATAAGATGGGGATGATGATAAGGTACATATATTTGAAGTATGAGGTTGATCCCTTAAGAAATAAAGAAGAAACAGTAAAAAATAGTATTTTTTAAGGAAAATTCTAAGTTCAAGGGGAGATAAATCTGAAAATATTGGTGCTAGAGTTATGAACCTTGTCACATAAGATGTGGTTGATGATAAGGAACATATATTTGAAGTTTGAAGTTGATACCTTAAGAAATGACAAAGTTATAGTGAAAAATATTTTACTGCACCAAAACTTTAATCTAAAATCTGGACGCGGACGCAGACGCCGACGCCGGGGCGAGTAGGACAGCTCTCCATATACTTCGTATAGTCGAGCTAAAAATAAAAGACTTTGAAAAAGTATATATAGATAATGTCACAGTACAATCTTGTGTCACAATACAAGCCGATGTCACATAATGTGTCACAGTATAGTATCTTAATGTGACATTAAAAGTCACAATGGAAAACTAGACTAAGTATAATCACAACACGAATGGAATGTATGGGGACATTAAAAATAGTTCCTATATAATTCCTGAAAATATCTTAAGATAACTGATATTGATAAAGAACAATTGATATGCATAGCACAATGGTTAATAATAGCTTATAATATATTCATGCTAAAATGAATAATCTACTATACACTTTGAACCTATCAACTGCATCAAAAACAACTACAATTAATGTATATGGTTTAAAAAATGGGCTTAAAAAATATCAATGAAAATCAATTTCAAGTGTTAAAATATCCAGGATAACTCCATTCTTTTAATAAAATTTCTAAAATCACATAATCTTATAAAAAAAAAGAGGGCCATGATGGCCCTGGATCGCTCACCTGACACAACCGCATCCAAGCAATGTCTTAAACAAGCATCATGACCAAGTTTGATGCGACTGAGTCAAACATGTGACCTCTAGTGTGTTATAAAGATTTTTCCATATTTGGGCAATGTGACCTAATTTTTGACTGGACACGACCCATATTCAAACTTGACCTAGAAATCATCAAAACAACCTTCCTGACCAATTTCCAGGAAATTTGGATCAAAACTGCAGCCACTAGAGTGTTAAAAAGATTTTTCTATTTTTAGCTCCTGTGACCTAGTTTTTGACCAGACATGACCAATCTTAGCACTTGACCCAGAAAACATCAAAACAACATTCTTGACAAATTTCCTGAATATTTGAATAAAAACTGCAGCCACTAGAGTGTAAACAAGCTTTTTCTATTATTAACTCCTGTGACCTAGTTTTTGACCTGAGATGGCCCATCTTCGAACTTGACCTAGAAATCATCAAAACAACCTTCCTGACAAATTTCCAGAATATTTGAATCAATACTGCAGCCACTAGAGTGTTAACAAGCTTTTTCTATGTTTAGCTCCTGTGACCTAGTTTTTGAGCGGAGATAACCCATCTTCGAACTTGACCTAGACATCATCAAAACAACCTTCCTGACAAATTTCAAGAATATTTGGATGAAAACTGCAGCCCCTAATGTGTTAACAAGCTTTTCTATTTTTAGCTCCTGTGACCTAGTTTTTGACCGGAGATGACCCATCTTCGAACTTGACTTAGATATCATCAAAACAACCCTTCTTGACAAATTTCCAGAACATTTAGATGAAAACTGCAGCCATTAGAGTGTTAACAAGCTTTTTCTATTTTTAGCTCCTGTGACCTAGTTTTTGACCTGAGATGACCCATCTTCGAACTTGACCTAGAAATCATCAAAACAACCTTTCTGACAAATTTCCAGAATGTTTGGATGAAAACTGCAACCATTAGAGTGTTAACAAGCTTTTTCTATTTTTAGCTCCTGTGACCTAGTTTTTGACCAGACATGACCCATCTTCGAACTTGACCTAGAAATCATTAAAACAACCTTCCTGACAAATTTCCAGAATATTTAATCAAAACTGCAGCCACTAGAGTGTTAACAAGCTTTTTCTATTTTTAGCTCCTGTGACCTAGTTTTTGACCGGTGATAACCCATCTTCGAACTTGACCTGAAAATCATCAAAACAACCTTCCTGACAAATTTCCAAAATATTTGGATGAAAACTGCAGCCACTAGAGTGTTAACAAGCTTTTTCTATTTTTAGCACCTGTGACCTAGTTTTTGACCGGACATGACCCATCTTCCAACTTGACCTAGATATCATCAAAACAACCTTCCTGACAAATTTCCAGAATATTTGGATGAGAACTGCAGCCACTAGAGTGTTAACAAGCTTTTTCTATTTTTAGCTCCTGTGACCTAGTTTTTGACCGGACATTACCCATCTTCGAACTTGACCTAGATATCATCAAAACAACCTTCCTGACAAATTTTCAGAATATTTGGATGAAAACTGCAGCCACTAGAGTGTAAACAAACTTTTTCTATTTTTAGCTCCTGTGACCTAGTTTTTGACCGGAGATGACCCATCTTCGAACTTGACCTAGATATCATCAAAACAACCTTCCTGACAAATTTCCAGAATATTTGGATGAAAACTGCAGCCACTAATGTGTTAACAAGCTTTTTCTATTTTTAGCTCCTGTGACCTAGTTTTTGACCAGACATGATCCATCTTTAAACTTGACCTAGATATTATCTAAACAACCTTCCTGACAAATTTCCAGAATATTTGGATGAAAACTGCAGCCTATAGAGTGTTAACAAGCTTTTTCTATTTTTAGCTCCTGTGACCTAGTTTTTGACCAGACATGACCCATCTTCAAACTTGACCTAGATAAAATCAAAACAACCTTCCTGACAAATTTCCAAAATATTTGGATGAAAATTGCAGCCACTAGAGTGTTAACAAGCTTTTTCTATTTTTAGCTCCTGTGACCTAGTTTTTGACCAGACATGATCCATCTTCAAACTTGACCTAGATATCATCTAAACAACCTTCCTGACAAATTTCCAGAATATTTGGATGAAAACTGCAGCCTATAGAGTGTTAACAAGCTTTTTCTATTTTTAGCTCCTGTGACCTAGTTTTTGACCGGAGATGACCCATCTTTGAACTTGACCTAGAAACCATCAAAACAACTTTCCTGACAAATTTCCAGAATATTTGGATGAAAACTGCGGCCACTAGAGTGTTAACAAGCTTTTTCTATTTTTAGCTCCTGTGACCTAGTTTTTGACCGGAGATGACCCATCTTCGAACTTGACCTAGATATCATCAAAACAACCTTCCTGACAAATTTCCAAAATATTTGGATGAAAACTGCAGCCACTAGAGTGTTAACAAGCTTTTTCTATTTTTAGCTCCTGTGACCTAGTTTTTGACCGGAGATGACCCATCTTCGAACTTGACCTAGATATCATTAAAACAACCTTCCTGACAAATTTCCAGAATATTTGTATGAAAACTGCAGCCTCTAGAGTGTTAACAAGCTTTTTCTATTTTTAGCTCCTGTGACCTAGTTTTTGACCCGAGATAACCCATCTTCGAACTCGATCTGTATTTCATTGAGACAAACATTCTGACAAAGTTTGATGATGATCCAATCAAAACTGTGACTGCTAGACTGTTAACAACCCAATTATTAGAGTGTTAACAAGCTTTTTCTATTTTTAGCTCGTGACCTAGTTTTTGACCAGAGATGACCCATCTTCGAACTTGACCTAGATATCATCAAAACAACCTTCCTGACAAATTTCAAGAATATTTGGATGAAAACTGCAGCCTCTAGAGTGTTAACAAGCTTTTTCTATTTTTAGCTCCTGTGACCTAGTTTTTGACCCGAGATAACCCATCTTCGAACTCGATCTGTATTTCATTGAGACAAACATTCTGACAAAGTTTGATGATGATCCAATCAACACTGTGACTGCTAGACTGTTAACAACCCAATTGTTAGAGTGTTAACAAGCTTTTTCTATTTTTAGCTCCTGTGACCTAGTTTTTGACCGGAGATGACCCATCTTCGAACTTGACCTAGATATCATCAAAACAACCTTCCTGACAAATTTCCAGAATATTTGGATGAAAACTGCAGCCTCTAGAGTGTTAACAAGCTTTTTCTATTTTTAGCTCCTGTGACCTAGTTTTTGACCCGAGATAACCCATCTTCGAACTCGATCTGTATTTCATTGAGACAAACATTCTGACAAAGTTTGATGATGATCCAATCAACACTGTGACTGCTAGACTGTTAACAACCCAATTGTTGACGACGAACGACGCACAACGCACGACGCACAACGCACGACGCACAACGCACGACGACGGACGCCGGACATAGCCCCATCACTATACCTCACCATGACCACTTCGTGGTCAGGTGAGCTAAAAATAAATAATGTTGCAATATTCATTTCTGGTTAAGTAAAAAATCATTTCTGCACATTTTCTTATAAAAAGTCTGCATGTCATTAAAAAAATCCCTACAAAAACACAGTCAACAAGTATCTAAAAAATGCAAATGAAATTTGATACATGTAAAATGATTAAAGAAAGAAAATGGAATAAAAATATCAACAAATGTCAATTTTAAATATTCAAAAAATGACCTAAATTACCTCCACACTCTCTGAAAGTAACACAAAGTGGAGACAATTACCACAAAGACGTAGAAATTTCCTGAAAGATTGTTACTAGCACTGATATCTGCCGTTCTGTCACTTAATGATGATAACACAGTGTCTATGATATGTACGACACCATTCGTCGCACCTAAATCGGACATTATCACCCGTGCCGACATCCCTCCCCAAGACAGACGGACGGCTGAAATATACAACAATCAGGCATTTTAATACAATCTTTGACATGATGACGCTCCTAATAAAATTAATACCATCCCCAACATTGCTCCCAATAAAAGACAGATAAATAAAATATGGAAAAAACCCTTGCCGAAATAAAAATATAGTAAACTGCTGGCAACAGAGATATCACTACTGTATAAATTATACATTCAGTGTTTTTTTTCAGTTTTGGGGGAAGGGGGTCAGTGCCCATTGGGTGGGGAAAAGTAGCGCGTAACTGCCCAAAAAGGGGAATTTTCAGTATTATTAATATTCAATAAAAAGACTAAAAATACATGATTTTTTAACAATCCTATAAAATAAATAAAACAACTAATTGAAATTAGTTAACAACTTTATTAACTGAGTGACTTCAGTTCAGTTTGATTCTTTTTTGGTTTTATTTTTTTGACGGTGGGGAATTTTCGCAATTTCATGGGGAAAAATATATATTCCGAGAGGTGGGGAAAGGGGCCGAATATCGCCGAATATTTCGACCAAAAAAACACTGACATTGTACACTAAAATACACTTTTTATCATTTGAAACAAACTATTAAATGTCTGAAGGTTCATCAACTTAAGCCATACAATTAAGATTTAGAAGAACACACGATGTCATGTAATGTATAGAATTATGTATCCCAGAGGATGAACGCATGCGGTTAAATATTTTCATCACTATTTTTAGTTAATATACTGATTTAATTAAGTTTCATTGTGGTGGAAGCTATAAGCATATTGAAACACTATATAATCCGTTCCTGGAACCAACCAGTACTAAGCAACGAGTGAAAAGTTTTCTTGCTCTTGGAAATATAACGACTTGCCCCTTACGGGTTTAAATCAGCGTGGCCATAGCAATCTTTAGATTACTAGGGCTACACTTTAACCACATTCCATTAAGCTATGTAACTGACTTATTAATGACACAAAATAAAAAGATCTGATGGCACAAAATTAACAAAACATAGAAAGTTGGCACATACTATTTTCTGTTTCCTTTCGAAGGATGACCTCATCACCATTGTGAGCCCTATACCTCTGTGACTGTGAACTAACTTGCATCTGCTCGATGAAGATCAACTGGTTCGGAATGATCAACCGCCTCAATACCTAGATATATAAATAAACATTTTACTCTTTGCTTTTTTTATCTGACCAATCACCACACTTGGTTACGTCATGTGACTGTATAAATATTTCAAGAGATCAGAAAAAATTGGTCTGTTAAAATTTTCTTACAGTGTGCCTCGTTTCGGCCATATATCAACTCAGCACAATTTCTGTTTTATTTTTTGCATTCCTGCCTTACAAATATACAGGGTGTATACATGGGTGCAAGTTGAAAATTTGGAAAAACTTAAAAATGGAATAATCATTTGGTTTAGTTAATATAAGACTGAGCTTAAACTTAATCAAATAAAGATCTCTGTCTACCCACCTCTCCTCTAACACACTCAGACACACAATGTTTAAATATTTTTTTCCTAGCCAATCAGATAAATAGTATTTGAATCAAATAATTTTCAAGCCAATCAGACTGAAAGAGATTCTAAATCCAATTCTTTCTAGCCAATAAGATACAAGTTTGTATTTGTATCAAAATATGTTTTAGCCAATCAGACAAAGCAATACTAAACAAATTATTCCTAACCAATCAGACACAACAGATTTGAAATCACATTGTTCCTAACCAATCAAATTAAAGTGATTCTTCCAATTCTAACCAATCAGACACATCATGAGATCATTGTTATCAAATATGCTCTAGCCAATGAGAAACTCAATCAAGATATTTAAGACTTTTTTTTTGGCCTATCAGACAAGAGATTCATTTTTTCTAGCCAATCATATACAAGAGATTCATCATGTACAAAAGATCGCACTCACCTGTCCTGGATAACTTGTTGGATACTGATTCGGATATTCCGTTCTAAACACGTCGTTATTAGTTTGTTGACCATAATTGTTCATACCATTGCCATACTGGTCAAAATTTCTTGGTGGTAGATAAGTGCTATCATAGCTTTGGTCCTTTAAATAATCAATAAGCCCTACTGACTTTAAGTCCATATAAGTGTTTCTGAAATAAACAACAACTAACTTAACTACAGTTTGATGACTTATAAATATTTTCATTTTTATAATGAATATTGAGAAAAATGCACTAAACTTTTAAGAAAGGTAAAAACATTCAAGATCCAAGTTATATTTTACATGTTATGTGCGGTTAACACTGATTTTGCAGTATTTCATCACCATATTTCTACTGCTTTACTAAACGCAGTAAGGACCGTTTTTGCATAGTTATGAAGACCTCTTTTTGGTTATTTTCGAGGATTGTAAGTGCCGAATGCAATATGTAAATGACTTTATTAGTTCACCTCACATTATTTCACTTTCAAATACATTTCAAAATTTAACATTAATCTGGAGGCTTGCTGCTTTAATACTAGTCATAGCAATATTTAGTTGAAATGTCATAGCTAGATACTTACATTAAATAGTCATCATAGTATATAAGTGTTGGGATATCTTTGCTAGGAACACCAAGAATTGCGTCAATATATTGTAGAACTCCTGTGGTAACTTTAATATCAGGTCTCACAATCCTGGCCCTTACATTTCCACCATTTACCCAGGATTCTAGAAATGAAAAGGTTAAAATGTTAGTAATATGTCTAACTTTCTTATAATCTTCCATGAATGTCAAACCCCTCACGGGGTTGAAGACATGACTCTAGCCTTCAGAGACAGCTATGAGATACAAGGGAATCCAGGAACCAGTCCCTAGCTCTTATTGAATAGACCCCTTGGTTCTTTTACATGCCCAGTATATCGCACTGATTACATGCCAGGATTACCTGGATTTCTTACCAGTAAACCTCAATGAAATTCACAGAAATTCTGATATTTGTAAGAAAATTCAAATTTATATTTTTTGGTTTTTGGACCTCAGTTGGGTTCCTTTAATGTTGAGGACTGGTACAAACAAAAAAAATATGGCGACTGGTACAGATATTTATGTTGAAAGACTGGTACAAACATCAGTATTAGAGACTGGTACACACTGCATGAAACAGGTACACACATAAAATGTTATAGACTGGTACAAACAACAAATCTTGTGACTGGTACAGAATGATGTATATACGAGCCAGACTGGTACAAACAACAAATCTTGTGACTGGTACAGATGTATATACGAGTCAGACTGGTACAAAAACTCACCATTTCTATCATTGTAGACAACAACTTTCCAGTTATTATATCTAGAAAAGCGTCTCTGTCTCACATCAAAGTTTCCATTAATCTGTGACACCTCAATACTGCCATCTTTAATCATAGAGAGTCTCACAATCTGTAATATGATCACACATTGTATTTACTCATACATAAGACATGTTTTTTCTCCGGTAATTTATGGCTTATACTGTACACCCCGACTTATAACAGTGATCATTTGACTTTCTTAAGCAATCTAGTCTTTTTCTTTTAAAATTGGCAAAATTTAATACTTTTAAGGAAAGTGTGGGCAAGCAGAACCAATGATATCTTTGAAAGTTTAGCTTGTTCACAGGATTTGAACACACAATAATGAAAGATGCAAAACTATGGCATGAAAAGAAGTATCTAAATCCCCTTAAAATGTGTAAAAAACATTGTAAAAGTATTATAGCTGCCCTTTTAATTTTTCTTCTTAAATATAGGTATTTTAAAAACCCGCTTTGCAAAAATTTAATATCCTTTAATTTAGTGGATTTGAAAATGATTAACCCAATTTCATCAAATTTAAAAAAAACTGTGTTATTTCAAAAATAGAAAAAACCCTGGAAAAGTTTACCAGACAATAAAAGGGTGAAATCTGTGATGGATTTTTAAGCATGGCACTTCAGGGTTTAAAGTAAAAAAACTTACATAAAAAATTTTATGAATACGCCGCAACAAAAATAACCCCCTTTTAATGTTGCCTTTTTTAAGGTGCACAAAAAATCTAAAAAGGTGGCCCCTTTTAAAATTGCTTAAAATATCATAAAAATTCCCCTTATGGAAATTAAGCCAAAAAAATTGCTTTCATAAAAACAAACTGAAGAATAATTATGGAGGAGAAAATTAATTCAAGATTACTTACAAAGTCTATGAGAGAAGTATTTGTGTCCAAGTTGACTCCCCTTAAATTGTTTATATATGAAAAAGCGTCTTCTGTCGGTACAAACATGTTGACACCGGATGGCTGGGTAATCAAGGCCTGGAGGTCTGGTGACACTCTGTCGATAAGACGGTTGAATGTTCTGAAATAAGAAAAAAATGTTTTCTAGATGTCATTTATATTAAAAGAGACTCCTACTAATGTCTCAACGTATAAATTCTTATAAAGATTGATTTGGGCACTCAAAATGGGGACACTCAAACTGACAAAAAAAATGCCTAAGTGTGTAAAGAAAAATTTTCAGTACTGAATCAAACATCAACTTTTTGTGCAGTTTAAAACCAAATTTGAGTTAAAAAGTATTTAATATACACTTTAAATTTTTGGTCTTATTATACAAAAAAATTAATATTCTGGAAAAATGGAGTGATCGAATAATATGAAATTTGGCACACAAGCCATTACCTATGACTTTCATTACATTTTACATAGGTCTCGAAAAAAAAAAAAAAAATTCAGTCCACTATATGTTAAAAACCCTTGTTTGAGGACTTTTAAAATAATCTATCATGTCTAAACAAATGATTTGTTACGGTACATTTTATATTTTCTTATTCAAATGATAAAAGCAGTGTTTGGGTTTATCATAAGACTGGAAAAAACTTTCCGAAATTATTTGACATTAGTAGTATTATTAAATTAGTACAGTTATATAGAAATTATATAAACAACTTACGGGGCATCCTGGGAAATTTGTTCTCTAGCTGAGTTGTAAACGAACCCGAACATTCTGTCAATGATATGTATAACACCATTACGTACTGTAATATTTCCTCGCTCAATCATAGCTGTGACACCTCCACTCTTAACCAGAACTGAAATATCAAAATACATCTAACATATATCGGAATACCATTTTATATTTTCAGAAATAATGATTCTTACAAGCATTTCAAAATTCATAATATAAAGATGTATATGCATGTTTTTTGGTTTTGTTTTGGGTTTTACGTCACATCGACACAGTATAGGTCATATCGTGACGTTCCAGCTTTACTGGTGGAGAAAGACCGCAGGTGCCCTTTCGTGCATTATTTCAGGCATGAACAGGCACCCGAGTAGAACCACCGACGTTCCGTAAGCTAGCTGGATAGCTTCCTCACATGAAATAATTCAAAGTCCCTGTCGGGATTCGAACCCACAGTGGTGAGGGGCAAGTGGTTTAAAGTCAACGACCTTAACCACTCGGCCACGGTATATGCATGTAAAAAAAGTGCCACCCTCTTTAAGTCTTGAGCAGGTGCTAAGGGGCATGAGGGATTTTGCACTTATTCATAATCCCTTATAATATTCATGTAATGTGTAATGTTGTGATTAGTGCTTCCCAGGGATCACTTGTTTCCAGATTTTTGGTTTCGATCTCCCCATCACAAGCTTACAAACAAAGAAATACAAATGCTCTACAATCATGTAGAGCCAAACAGTTTCTTCAGCAACACTTTATAGTTGTCGGACATTATAACCTGTCATTTTGTCACATTAGCACAATCAGGAGTTAACTCCTATTAAATTGTTTAACGTTTATGCACTAAGGTTTGTTTGTTTAATTGGGTTTTACCTGCCATGAACACAATATAGGTCACATGGCCACGTTCCAGCATTACTCAGGTGGAGGAAGACCTCAGAACGCGAGACGCCTTAAATTACCTTCTGTCAAAGAGCAAGAATGGGCACCTAAGTAGAACAAGACTCAGGTGGCAGACCTCAGGAGCCCTATAGCTTCTGTGCATCTGAGGCCCGTATATGCACCTGAGTACGTTTCATAAGGTATCTCGATAAATGCACTGTGATGATTTATTTGTATAATATATCTAATAATCATAGCCTAGGACTATATTTTTTAACTTTAACGGTAGTTATAATTTTTTTACTGACAGGTTTAAAATGGCCTAGCATAAAATGCCGCTTCTATACCAGTGGAGCACCTAGACAAGGTTCATATTGGGATAAAGTCACTTACCACGCCCAGCATCTTGCCTCATAAACATTACACGAGATCCCGTGTAAGCCGTTTCATAACTCTCCTGATGTTCCACATACGACGTATAAACCACACGGTTCTTTATGTAATGCATTTTGAAATACTGAAAACGGAAATTAAACATTTGACTCACTGTGTACATTCAATCAATTGGCAACTTTTATAACTACACAAAATTCATTAAATATTATGAAGAAATCATATCTTTTATAAAACAAATCTTTTTAATGCTCATAGAATAATTAAATTGAGACTGAATAATTGCCAAATGAAAAGTTTACTTTAACTCATGAAATGGTCATATTTACCTAAATACTAGCATTTAGCTCATAATTAATATAAACAATAAAAACGAATATATTTTAAAAGAAAAGCAAAATTAATGAACTTTGCATATTTGATTACTGAGTATGATAAATTATGCAAGATATTTTTACAGGAGAAATATTATTTATATAAACACTTAGCCAGCTATTGAATATTCTTAAATGGACTTGTCCATCTTTCAATCTGGATAAAACCATTTATCTTTTTTAGGAAAATTTTGAAGATACATATTTTCCATCAATGACAATGAAAATATAAGAAAATGTGTTTGTTTTCTACGAAAATGGATTGTATACATCATACTTATAAAGTAACTTTCTTTTTACTTTTTAAATTCTTTAACAATATTCAAATTTAGACAAATTCATAAAATGATGGAAAATGTCTGAAATGGCTAAATTGGCAGAGTGCAATATAAAACCCTGTTTGTTGGCCTTTTTTGTTGAAACATAAAAGTAATAATCCATTGTCATTGAAATCAAACAGAATTTATATCTTATACATTTCAGAATGTTTCTGTATAAACAGGTGTCTGTGTTATTTCTCATGCTTTTGTTACTATTACATATAATTATATAACTATAAACAATATATTATAGCATTCAATCTTTGGTAAAGTATTAGAACATTCCAACTTTCAACCTGCCGGAAGCCTGGAACATGATCAACTTTTGTCATCAGTAAAGATCAGCCAGGCCTAAGGCCTGCACTTCCAACCAGTCTAATTAGGATCTTTTAACTGTTGCTAAATCTTGACCAATATTTGTATTTTGATATTGAAATCCCCTTAAACTTTGAATGGACTGTTCCAAATTCAAAGAAGGGCAAATCCATTACACAAATTCAGCAGGTATAGGCCAGTTTAAGCTGCTCCTCTATCAAATAAACTTTTACTTATATCATGATGCTTCACTCTTGTAAAACATTACTTACAATAATATAATATGCATGCAATATGACGAAATTTGAGTCTTTCTAATAGCATATAAATTCATTTGATATTTTTGGTAACATTTCATGGAAAGAATAATGCTATCCTTATTCTCCCAGTCATCATTTCTGACTTTTTCTGACTTTGTCAATGAAATTTACCGGGTTTTTTTTTGCCCATAATGTTTTTTTTTTTTTTAAAACTTTGAGGATGCAGTCACAAAATATCTGCTAAACAACTTATCAATTACGTTAAAAGAATCATCTTCATTATAAAATGCTTGACTGTATTATAATATATGTCTAAGATTAAAATGCAAAATTTAACATATTGAAAATAATTATGAAGAGGGGAGTCACAGGCAATAGGGAAGTCCAAATTTCAAAGCAGGGCAAGTTCATTTTACAGAACTTAGGGGGGTAAAGGTTAATTTGTCACATCACAGAAAGGGAGATAACTCATGCATCACAAACTATAGACATATTTACAAACATAGCTCACTGATCTACGATACATATCTACTTATATTATCTACACAAAAAACTAAAAGTATTTGGTATATATTATATAAATATTTGAACCCGGACACCATTAGATACATGTAATTTCGTAACTACATAATATAAATATAATTGTCAATAAATTTGATACAAGACTGTGAAACTATGTGTGTGTGTCAGTTAAATTAGCAAATTAATTTATAACCAGTTAACATTAAACATACACAATAGTAAATTATTTTGATTACTCGGAGCGCATTAAGTGTTTGTAAAAAGCAAATGCATGTATGGTGGCCTGAGTGAACTTTCATGTCAGCAAGATAACTTTTGTGTGTAAAACTTGTCGTACGCTCATGGCTGATTTATGAACGTACATAATTCATATTTAGTGTTATATCTCTTGATTATAAAGGAGAGACCGGCCTTAGGAGAATATAAAATCACACGGGCAGAAGACTATACAATTAATCATCACCCCATTTTTTTTATTAATACACTATCAAAACAAGACAAAGCGAACGCACAATTATTAATAGCTTAATATGTGATTTACTAAAAGTTCTGTGTGCAGAAGGTTTATGGGTTAGAAAGTACTATATTATGTACAATGAAAGAGAGAAAAGAGATTTTAGCGGTTGTTAAATTTAGTACTTAACAGGTTTTTGATAATGTTTGTGTTAAGGACCAATATGGATATAAAATGCTTGAAAATGCTTTAAAAGTATATTGTATAATATTGGATTACTTGATAAAAATGGTGTTTAGAATTATATTTTTATCATTATTATTAAATCCCCCCCCCCCCCCCTCCATAAATTACTTGATGAAACAGAATTTTTTATATTATACACACCGCCCAAACCCTCCCCATCCACCCCCCCCCCACCAAAAAAACAAAACAACAACAACACCTTTCTTTGGAACAATTAAGTACTCCGGACCACTATAATCAAGTTTGAAGGAAGACATTTAATATAGTTAGAATAACAAATTATAAAGAATTACATTTTTTTTAAAGTCTAAATTCTATATTTTGATGAAGTTATAATAATATATTTCAGAAAATTAAATGGGTACAACCCGACTTACACTGAATAAAGAATGGAATGGGCCAACAGCAATAATTATGTAAATAGACCTTGACAAGCTATTTTAACCCGTTATCATTAAAAATATTGATATCTATTAACTCAAATGGTAAAATATCTTAGTTGCGTGGGTTTCGAAGCATTTGAGATGGGTGAAAAATTGAAAATTACGTAAAGTTTGATAAGTAAAATATTTTCAATTTACATACAGTATGTAACATAATGTAAGAAAGCTAGCTTAGTAACAAGTTTGAGTAAAAGTGAAACAAAGATTGGTAAAGTTGGTTTATATACAATTGTGAGTGTCACACATATATCTGACATGTCTGATGTAAAGGTCATGGGGGTAAACATTATACAATTGCTTAATGCGAATGGGGTAAAACAGGGACAATGTATTGGTTGATACAATTCGCCACCTTAGTGCAGTAATGCTTTAACTCCTATCAAATTAAGATAACAACATTTTTGTTTTAAATGACCAAGGTGTTAAATTATGTGATGCCTAATAAACTGGAACATATGGATTGTTTAAGCTTCACTGTGAGAAAAACGCAAACTGGTTGTAAACCAAAGGTCCAAGGTTAAAACGTTGTAAACATTTTGATAATACATTGCATACCCTACAAATATTAACCGCCACATCTTATTAATATATAATATACATTTTATATTTTATTTTATATTTCCATGCAATTCTATAAACCCTAAACCCTATTGAAGACATTATAAGTACCCACATTCTAGCCCATATATTAAATCTCAAGCTTAGTCTTTATATATACATTACTATATAATAAATTATACAAACATGATTGACCCAGGATGCAATCTTATAACTTAATACTTGTATACAAATAATGCAATATGCAAAAAACTTATAAATCAAATTTCTTAATCTGTCAAAACACCGCCTTTTTTAGAGTGTTTATAGTCCAAAACATGACCTTGGTATTCAGTTATCAGAAAAAATATTGATTTGGTTCATAAGAAAAAAGAACAGCCTTAAACTTCCCATCGGGTCAATGACGGGGTTTTTATCTAATATTTTGTAAACAGAGTTTTGGTTTAGATAATTTTGTTTTAAGAGATTCTTTAAGAAAAGAATAAAAAGATAATGAAAAATACTTTTTTTACGAAGTTAGTGTAAATTAGGGTAAAAAATAAATGCAAAAATAAGTTTTGTGAATATAAAAACAAAGCAAAGCTTGTTACAATTGGTGTGCATTTTAAACCTGGTTGAGTATTTTTCACAAAAGGTCAGTGGGTCACATGAAAACGAAAGTTATTTTTAAATCTAGCCTAACGGTCAGACACTCACATTGGCCAACTCCTGCCCTTGTAGGCCTTGAATCTTCGAGGCTGGAATTTTTCTCAAAGCGTTCTCGCTTGGGAGGAAGAATGTAATTTTATCGGTCCTTGCTATGGGCGTAACAACGTCGAGGTAAAACCGACTATCTTGATATAGTTTGGCAGCAAGATCTCTCCAGGTTCTATAAATAGAAATGACAATGCCACATAAAGTTATCTCCCTTTAATTTAATTAAATACAGAGGAATGGCACAGAGTTTCTCCCTTTTCTCTGCATAACCCTGCCTGTGACTTGCAGACAAATCTACAAATTTCCATCTCAGTTAAGTGTTGCTAATCTCTCGGTCGTGCTGTGCTATCATATTTTATCTGAAAGCTAAATAAATTTGTAGCAACCTAAACCTTATTAAAAATTACTTACAATTATTTTCTAAGTCTCCGTAAAAAAATAATGTTGAAGCCTTATGTTTTGTAGTAATATTTTGTGACTGCATCCTCAAACTTAAGAGTATTAAAAAGGGCCACAACTCTTAACATGAACTGTAAGCAAGTGTAATGATCATAATTGATAAAAAAATCAAAGGAGTAATAATACCATAATAAAGATCTTAAGACAATGGGCTATAACTCTAAAAGCCTGAGGTAGCAAAAGCATAAAAGAAAGAAGAAAGGGCAACAACTCTTAACTTGTACATTCAATAAGTCCAGGGAATAGATAAACAATAACATCAAAGCCAAAGTAATATTATTATGAAAATTTTCAAACAAGGGACAACAACTCTAAAAACCTTAGGTAGAAATACAATAATTGAAAACAGAAGAAAGGGCAACAGCTCTTAACTTATACACTCAACTATTCTAGGGAATTAAATAGAAGCAAAGCAGTAATAATACCATAATAAAATCTCAAGACAAGGGACAATAACTCTAAACACCTTAGGTATCAATAACATTATAGAAAACAGAAGAAAGGGCAACAACTCTTAACTTAAACTGCCAAAGTATCCAAATAAGCTGTAGTAATATCATAAAAAGTGAAAATCTTAAGATAAGGGGCAATAACACTTAAAGCCTCGGGTAGCAATTACATAATAGAAAATGAAAGAAAAGGGCAATAACTCTTACAGATTTCTTGGACCAGATTTTATATTGCCCACTGCTTAGTTTCAAACTACTTACCAAACAAACTGTTCCAAATACAAAGCAAAAAAAGTCTTTTAGGTAATATTATACTTATTTGGCATTAGGCAAACTGGCTTATTTTGATGCTGAGCAATTCTGAATGGTAAGTTCCTTATATTTTATGATTAAAGTAATGTTTACATACTGTGCATGAATTATATGAAGGAATAGTTATTATTAAGGTTACTACTATTACATGCATGCAGTCACACTTAATATATACATAATACTGTATACAGTTTTGTTATTTTTTTGGAATAAGCTTTCCAATAATAATTCTTTGTGTTCTTTTCTGTTATGTTTATATATTAAGCATTCTATTTCTTATTCTTTGGGTTCATAAATATTTCAGCATCTATTCTTTTCTTGCTCTTTGAGTTCATTTTGTAGCTTTCTAGCTAAGTCTATTAAAATTCTAGCATTTACAATTAAAATTAGTCTTGGAAAACAATTTAGTTATAAACTTTTAAAAATAGTTTAATTTTTGGCCTTCAATTAAGTTTTGGAAATGTTAAAACAAGACATATCCCTATTTTTGTTTTATAAATATATAAAATAACACTATGTACTCTGAGCTAAAGGACTTGGAAGTTAATTGTTTAAATCTAACCATCTGTGCAAAATATCTTTACTTTGATGTGAACCACATTAAGATAATAAAATTTATTACCGATTGAAATATTTTGTGGGAAATTTTTGTGATTATCAAAACTGAAACTCACAGATATAAGAAGGAAAAAGAGAAGACATCAACTGGCTACAAGATAAATGAGTTAAATTCCATAATTAAATTTCATGTTTTCAGATATCCAAATTTTAAAAAGATAAAGTTACTGCTGGATTAAGATTGTATAAATCATATATATTATGGTACACAAAGTAAATGGTCTGTCAGAATGGTTAAATTGGACAGTTAAAAATAGATAAATGGCTTTAAGATGGCTTAATACATTGTATATATTCCAAATATTTGATTGTCGGACACTGATTATCAATTTGATCCACAAACTTTGGAATATACATTATACATAAATTTACAAACAACATCAAATAATGCTTCAACCTTTCTTAATGCTTACCTAAATATCTATTTTAAAATGGACTTGTCAAACTTTCTATCTGGACTTCATCATTTAACATCATTTTAAGAGAAATTTTCAAACTATGTACTAACTGAATAGCAAACTGAAATTTTACCTAAAAATGGTACAAGTTTTGTGTGGTCTGGTAGTGTTGGGGGCTGTGTTTTATGAACATCGCCTAACAATGCCATGTTTAGCTTAAATTCTCATTTCCAAAGCTTATGAGATAAAGAAAAACATTTTTGTTCTCATTTTTATAGATGGGACAAGTCCATTAAAGATATTCATCATTGTAAGGGCTAAGAAAGGTAAGCAGAGGTGTCATAGGGTTGTTTCCATTTCATGTTAATAATTATATCAATAATTAAATGTAAAATGTGTTTTCAATAAATATATCAAGTCAAACTTGAGGCTCATAGGGAAGACTGGGCTTGCCTAACTATGTTGCCTCTTTAAATAAAGTCTTTATTATTATTATTATTATTATTATTATTCTCAACATCATCGTTTCATTTAAAGTCCTTTAACTAAAGTTGTCCTTAATCCGGTTTTAATAAGTTCATTTAATATATAATATGTAAAACACATGAAAAATCGGCATGCCGCAGCCGAAACTTGTATTAACATGATATGGAAACATCACTATAACATGAGCATAAAACATAAAATTAGGTCAATCTATAAATGGCCGTAACATAATCCCTGGTTCATTTCACAAACTTACGTTCGCCAGCTCTCTACCATTTAAACTCGACAGTTTCGAGTTCGGAATTTTACGTAAAGCATTCTCTGACGGTAAAAAGAACGTCACCCTGTCGTTGGTGCTGATCGGAGAGATTACCGACGTGAAATATTCTCCATATATCCTCTCGGCTAATTGCATTATTGTACTGTAAATGACATTATTGTTTTAATACTGTAAACAAAATATACATTTTAATCTATATATAGAAATAAAACACTGCAATGTAATTCGCAGCAAAGTGCCAATTAAAGCATCAAATTCTTAAAGGGACATCACTCCAGTTAGATATTTTGAGATGACAGCACCAGAAGTATCTATTTGATATTTATGTACTATCCAAATGTAAGTGTAGATTTTAAGTAACAAATGAGTGAAAATATATTCCTGGCTCCCTTTTCCCTATTTAATTATTTAATTTGTGAAGAGTGCTTAACAGCTTTTAACTAAAATTAGACAGCCTAATATAATACAGAATACGTTTTTCAACTTAATTCTGAGTATAGGATTTATTGTCATGCTTTGGATAAAATTGTCTTTCCAATTTTAAGTTTATAAAGCTAAGTCTTAATAATATCTAATAAAATATTTTCATGAAATTTATTAATGGTACAATTTACCATAGATTTATTGTTGATTCTCAAAAGAACTGAAACACAGAATGTCTCTGTTATTCAACACACATTAATAATTTGTACATAAACAGAATAAAATGTTCAGGTACAAATTATAATAACTATGCTGCTATAATTGTGAGTAGGTTTTTAACTGTTTAACTATAAGAACCCATTTCTTCCAAACAAAAATTGTGAAAAATAACATTTCATTGAATTTTGTAAACTGCAGTCAGCAGATATATTCTTTATTAAGCTTTATACAATTCAAGTGCTCCATGTATGTAACAAACTTAAATTTTATGTTAAAAGGCCTTTAGACTGCAGTGGAGTTCCTGCCTTTCTTCATCATTTTGGGACATAGACAATGTAAAATAAAGATATAAAAGAATCACACAGTGCTATAAGAATCTTACACTGGCTGCTGGTACAGACCGCAATATCAAGCTTGATGGTAACTGTTCAAAGCGGTCAATGCAGCTCTGTCGAGTTTCCACTAAACAGTTACTTAAGAGCTGGATATTCCCTTCTGAACCGACAACCGGTGTTTGATTCTTTTTCTTGCATATTACATGTCAATTATTTTCGGAACAGAATTTATGAAAATTGGTGTAAAGGGTAGATTATCCCATCTGATATGCAAGAAATAGTGACATTGCATTGACAATTTTACACTCACTGTGCAGCATTGAGAAAATAAAAATTTTAACTTTAAATGCACCGGCAGAATTTTGGAATGTACCTTCTTAAAGGCCTTAGTAAGTTATTTTGCAATGTACTTTCTTTAAGGGCCATTAATGAGTGTAAAATTACAAATTCTACATAAAAAACTTACGTGGTTTGAATTGTCGGGTCGTCCGGTTCCATCAACCATTGGTATACATTAGAATCGCTGATTGGACTCAACGGCCGATCTAACACGTGGATTATTCCGTTACTAGCTTGCAACTGTTCCCGGATAATCATTGCTCCGTTAACATAGGTGGCGCTACTTCCCGTGGTACTACCAGGATTCTGTGGACAGAAATACAAACTTCTTAAATGTCTGCTATACTAAGAGAGGATATTGTATGAGTATAAGTTTAATACTGAATTTATAGATCGAGTTGAATAGATATATAATTTGCGAGCCTTTGGCAAGCATAATATTATTTCATTCAAAGAGTTCAATAAATTCAGACAAGAGTTTCTAAAAAAGCTTTTCAAGCTTCCTACTCAATCCGTTGTATTTATCATTTGTCAATTATCATGTAAATGTAATGTTTATAAATAAAATATTGTTTAAACTAAATTCAGTAATGAACTTACACAAATTTAATATTCTATTTATCACAATACCCAAAATAAAGATCGTTTGAAATGAAAAAGAAACATTTTTATTGAAGCGCCTATAGCATAACACATTTAGGACGATCGTCTTAACGCTATGTTTGTGTAAAGAAAATGACATCATGTCAAAATATATATGCACGGACGTGCAATACCATTTTTATGGAGTCACAAAAGCGGCACGGGTATGGGATAAATTATACTTGTTCGCCAGCATGGGTAGAGAGATTAAACAACGGTGATGGCTGATGAATTTAGGCGGGGCTTAACAGCTAGCTATTATAATGATCTCTCCAAAAAATATTCATGAGGATCTTTAATCCTTCATTAGTTGATACTTTTGTACATTAATTTTGCTGAGAGTTAAACATAAAATCAGTTAAAATATGTGTCTGTTGCCAATAATAAATGCAATATTCTATGTTGACAAAAATGTTATAATATAAATTACACACCCTTAAGATCAATACAGTAATACTTTTATATTACTTTATTATATTATGATAAATCAATATAATGAAGGGCCATCATAAAAGTGACAATAATTTGGAGATACACGTTTCATGTACATAAAAAGTACACCTTATCAGTGTTGCATCTAGGCCGCGCGATTGCGCGATTTGCGCATATTTTATGCAGATCGCGCATTTTAATGAAGTCAACGCGCGCCAAGTCGCGCATCTGACAATTTTTTAACTTTATTCAGTTTATCTTCATCGTGTCTTGAAAGCTTCAGCCATGTTTGTTTTCACTTGTGGTAATGACTAAAGTACGTACTAAAAAGCGTGTAGCAGCCGACTGGGTCATCTCGCGTGTGTTTTGTAGTATTCGTCAATATTTTATTTTTTCTACTTCCGTTTTTGAGCGGACGATAGCTGTCAAAAATGCCTGAACGTAAAATAAATGAATTCTTTTCGATAAGTCATAGTGTAAGGTAAATGTATGTCCCCCACATTTTTTTCAAGTCCCCCACATTTTTCAGTTGAGTGGGGGACAATCCCCCATAATTTGGAAATTCTAGATGCAACACTGCCTTATACTTGATAAAGCTGATCAAGTATTTAATATAGATAGGTTATTTTTTAGTTCATAGGGTATTTATATTTTATCATTGCAATATATCGTCACTTTACTGCAGTAACAGATTTAAACACCTATTAAAATTAATTGGGGATTCAGACTGGCATTGACATTTTTTGCTTTTTCATGATATTATACATATGTGTTTTATTGTACCACAGGTGCTCAGTGTGTTGACTGGTCTGACTCTGCCAAAGAAACAAAAGACAAATAAAAGATACATATATATTTATAATATGTATATTTTTTTATAAATTTTTGTTTGCCATAGTGGCCAATCAACAGGCTGAATACCAGTTTGCATACAAGCACATTACTAAAACTGGTTGTTAAGTGTCTGGTATTTCATATTGCCAATATGCCAAACATTATAGAAGTACACAAAAATTTCACAGAAAATCTTACCCAATATACTCTGTTTCTTTTATTTATAAACAATTCCTTGCCGTTGATGGACTGCTGTGTGGAGGAATCCCGTAACTGATCTACACTTATACGACTTTCCACTGAAAATGGAAAAATAACTTATGATAATTTACAAAAATCAAATGATCAATAAATGGATGCTTCATTCTACCGTAATTGTAACAGTAAACATTTTTTTATGAACGGTTTGTTTGGTTTCCTATATTGTCATCTAAGAGCTGTCTCTTTGATCCAGGGCCATCCTTAAAAAATGTTTGTTTGCAGTAACCCGACCCAGAATTTTCAAGGTAGGTTTTTTTTGTTTTTTTTTATTGAACTGTACTCCCAAATAAACATGGAATTTCAAAATGCTGGACAAAATATGCTTTGATAATCTGGTAACAATTAATAAATTGATAACTGAATTCTAATTTATTAAGACCTAAACATTTTATTTCTTCTATTAACCTTTAAAAGAACGAAAACAAAGCACAAGTCATAATTTTCTCATTCAAAAAAAAATTTTTTATTCAGACCATGAAAAAAAATTTTGAGTAGGGGCAAATTTTGTGAGTCGGTCACGTTACTGCAAACAAACATTTTTTAGGGATGGCCCAGTGCAAAGTATATTGATGATGCATTGATATTGGATGAAAAATATCACTGATCTTTTGATAAATTAACTCTTAATTTCTTGTATACAATTCACTTTCATACCTCTTTAAATGACTTTAAGAAAATACATGTTCTGTTCATACAAACGTTACAATTGCCATCTGTTTGCAATTGATTTTCTTCTGCCCAGTTTTTGTCATCATTGCTAAGAAATGTCTCCATTAAATGTAACAACAGCTTAGTGTCAGACATGGAAACCTGCTTTTGTGTTTGTTTTGAGTGAATTTTCATAATTTATAGACATTTTAAATGTGTATCAATTAATAGGAATTTTACGGTAGTTATATGATCATACTTACATGTGTACGTCTGTACGTATTCTCTTTTTTCATCCAGAGTGAGGCTCATGAGTCTCGAGCGCTCGGATGACGGCATCGTATAGGTATATGCCGTGTCATTGAAGGCGAATACCGTCAACACACCAGAACCACTGTACAACCCCGGGAACGTCTCTCTACACCAGGATGCGAACTGAAATATACATATTTCTATTATAAGTTGTTATACATATTATATAAACTCTAATGGGCAATACTAATATATCTGGATATAAATACATGTAACATGATGTTCTTGACTCAACCTTATATCTCAGGTATTAAATTGGCCAGAAACTGACACAGAATATGCACTGACAAATGAAAATTATGAAATTTGAGATAGCGTCCTAGAGAAATGTTCTCTGTTCCATACAATTTTTTTAGCTTAAAGCCCCATCAAAGAAAAACTTTATGTTAATTCTAAGAACTTCTTAAAGAAGGTTACATTTTTTTTATTTGATCTTCATCAAACTTTGTCAGAATGATAATCTCAATGAAATCTTGGATGAGTTCATGCATGCAGCTTTAAGTTTGACAAATGATAGATGGATGTCTTCCACTCAGTGTTCAAATTCATATAATGAAGACATTGAATTATGCTTTAACCAGTACACTGCTGGAACTAGTTGTGTTAAACCTGATTGCCACTAGAATAGAGCCAGGCCAGCCTGCACATTCTACGCTCTTTACATGTACTGTTAATTAGAATATGAATTTTGAATTTAGATACTGAAATCCCCTAAAAAAATGGAATGAACTGATTCACTAACACAACAGGGCTAATCAATTATATTTAGAATTCAGGGGGTAAAGAATTAAACCATCCCGTGTCTTATTTCTGTATGGGTTTAATATTGCCAATCTTAAAATTACAATTTTCTTACAACGCAGTATGCAAAAAGTGTTATAAATGACCTTCAATACATTGATCCAATGAAAGAGATCACAGTCAAAATGAATCAAGATTAGATGTATTAGTATTCACATACATTTAAATCATCTTCATATACAAGGTTTTATCAAGTGTGTAAAGATCATGCATACTAATGTGATATGACTGTGAATATTGAATAACTTAAAATTTTAAACTATGTAAAAAAAAGCATTTGGATTCTACGGCCTCTTTACTAACCCCCCCCCCTTTGAAGATGAAAGGCAGTCAAATTTCTATTTTTTAATGGATTTTAATTTCAGGCACCAATACAGGGGGGTTTTTTGTTGTTGTTTTTGTGGGAGGACGGTCACAAAATTTGACAATCCAAAAGGGGGTATAACAGTTTTTGTGTTTGTGGGGGGGGGGGGGGGGGGGGGGGTTCGCAAAATTTTGACAATCCAGAGGGTATGACAGTGAACTAATTTTCCAGAAGTAGTTGTGAGTGTAATTATTTTTTTTTTCAATAATTTCTGTGTGATTTTCACACAAAAAACTCAAGTTATATAAGATTTTATGCTTATAAACAGCAATCAAAATGAAAAGTCTCAGCATGCAGCCAATCAAAAAGGGGACATGACTATAAGACCCCAGTCAATCAACTATTTATTTTTTTCTTAAGTTAAGTTGCCTCATAAACTTAAGGAAGGTTAAGATTTATAATCTACATTTTTAGCTTTTAATTTAAATCAGCTTTATCATATAGTTCAGGGTTTTCATTATTATTACTGATTGGCGATCCATATCATCGGCTGAAATGCAATTAAAATCAGTTGTATTTTCAGCCTAGTATACTGATTTAATTATCCCCCTTGACCCTTGACCAAATCAGTTGTTTTTGTTGGCACATCTGTTACACCTCAGATAAAAATAAAAACATGTAGTTAATTGTTTCTAATCAGTTAATTACACTGAAATGTTGAAATAGGTCAATTTCTAATATTGATAAATTAAAACTTTTGTATTACTTAGCTAATTACTTGTTTAATTTATAATATGATTATTTATTATTATAAAGTAATTGTTTCAATGTATGAAGGACATAGACTTTAAAATTTCTGTTATATTTAATATTTTAATATGTCAGAGTATGAATTTAACCTAAGTATGTAAAATTATAAATTAACTTTATTATCTTTTAAATCTATCTATGTTTTACCCTGAAATGAATGAGTTAAAGTAAAAAAAAACATCATAAAATGTATAAATTAAATTATATTATTATGTATATCATGCATGAGTATATTACTTATTCAACCATTTCGCCTAACTATAAAAATTTTAACATGAATTAAAATTTAATACACTATAGACCAGTGATTTTCCCCCTTATATAACATAGGCCTTTAAAAGGCCTCTTCCCAACAGAAATTTCTCTAAAGATAATTCAGTTTTCCCTTACACCAGATGTTTTTACTTCTCAAATTTAAGTTTCCTTACTTTTAGCCCTAATTATTCCAATTATCAACAGGCTAATTAATGTAATAAATTGTTTCCAATTAAGTGAGAACACCCATTACAGACATTATTTTCAAACTGCACAGAATTAAATGTATCAATATAGAAATTATATTTAATTATTTTTATTTATTTGTTAATGTATTATCACCTGAAAAAGGAAATGTTTTAACAAACTTTACCCAATTTCCCCAATTATAACATAGGCAAAAGCTTTTAAAAAGATTAAATCTTTAGCTTACAGTTTATTAATTTATTAAGTTTATTTATTTAATAAAGTCTAATCTTTACATGTAGACATGTAAATATAATATGAGCCGTGTCACGACAAAACCAACATAATGGGTTTGCGACTAGCATGGACCAGACCAGCCTGCGCATCAACGCAGTCTGATCAGGATCCACGCTGTTCGCTATCGGTTTCTCTACTTGTTATATAGTTTGTAAGCGAACAGCATGGATCCTGATCAGACTATGCGGATGCACAGGCAGGTGACCTGGATCCATGCTGGTCGCAAACCCATTATGTTGGTTTTGTCGTGACGCGGCTCATATACTACATAAAATACAAAAATAAAATACATGAAACGCCATTCTAAACAGAATTACAAGATACTGTTTACAACTGGGTTATTTATAATCTATTGTCATAGATTGTTTACTACAATATACTATTTACTTAAGATAACATTAATAATAAATTTATACTAGTAATGACAGACAAGATTGATTTCAATATCCCCCTAGATCAGTGACCTCATCGAAATCCCATATATATTGGCATTTTGAAAAGAGTTTAACTTAATCAAGAGTTTTAAAAACCTAAATATAGACCCTGCATATGTTACATTATATATGACACAATATAATAAAACAATTTTGATATATTTGTTAAAGATATATTATGCTTAAATTTGATATTAGAAAATATTGTTAATTGCTACAGTCAGTCTGTTTGTAAATACAGAATAAAGTCAAAACATGTTTAGATTATATTATATAAACATGTTTTGGCTTCACACAATGTAGATATAAACAGTGTTTATAATTCTACATGCTATAGGTGGTCACAATATGAATATATAGTGACATTTAAAGAACTTGCAATTTTAAAAGAAAAGACCAATTTTACTTGTTGTCAATACATAATTATATTTTGCATTTGATTTCTTTAGGAATGACGCATCTTGTTCTTGAATTTGACCCTATATAAAGATTACCAACCTGTCATAAGAAAAATTTTCTTACAAATTAAATGAAGAGTTCAATTAACCAAACATTTAACTTTTGTCCTATTTGACAAATATGATGTGTTGTCAGTGTTTCCCACCAAAAAAACCCTCAATTTTGGGGTTGGGTCATGTTCCCAACATGCTGAGAATCCACTTTACATTCTATATACTCATTCTGTTTCAATAGTAAATAGGAAAAAAATATTAAATGTATAAATAACATAACAATAAATTTATTGCCATTTTAAAACAAGGGCAATAACTCTTGTAATTTAATTTAATATACATTTATTGATACCATAGCCCATAGATGATTATAAAAGGTCAGCAAAAATATTATATAAGATAAACAAAATTATTCTTATTTGGTATTGTAGAAAGAACTACAACTATTACGGGTAAATTGATGACTAAAATACAATGAATGACTCAAATAGGTATTTTGTTGTCAGGTATTAGTCAAAATTGATAACTTATATGACAGATTGTCAAACGTTATACAATATTACCGCATCTAGTCAACGTCAAAGCATAGCTTGACAACTGAATTAGCGCGCGTGAAAAATCCAGGTGTATTTGTGACATCCGATTTCGCGACATAAATATATAAATTACTCTTCTGCAATTGGGCATGATTTGTATACTAGAACAAAGTAAAAGCAATATGGAAACAATTCTTTCAGTTCTTTTTGTCTATCATAATTAAGTAATGATAAATAAAAATTAGCAACGCTTCCGTAAATAACTTCGGTCACTGTCCGGAGATTTCAAAAGTTTTTGAAAACTGCGTCAGGTAATTATTTGCAATTCATTGGATAAATCTTTTTAATTCTTACCGTTTTAAGTCCATTTGTATTTGTCATAACATCAAGAATTGTTCCGCGACTAACTTGAGCAGAACACACACCAAAAACAGTTAATAAAACTAGAATCCTGCGTAAATAGTTAATATCCGCCATGATTGTTTACTCCTATGGCCGTTACCTGTATTAAACTTGACCTACATTCGACGCTGGTTACCTGATTTATCGACGCGACAGGTAGTCCATATATGGGCTAGGTAACAGCGAAAGATAGTTGATTGGTGAATCATTGAGCCAAAGAATATACTAGCATTTTCCCTTAAATTATATTTAAAATTGCAATAATATAATTATAATTAGCTACAGCACGGATTTATATTATATGTAATATAAATCCGTGGCTACAGTACAGTAAAGTACTGTATGTTTAAAAAAAAACACATCACTTTTATACAATTGCAATTAATTATTAAAGCTGTCCAATATGGTCCAAAGGCCTTATTATATATGTGTATATTATTCAAATTTTTACCAAATGTATAAATAAATCAAAAAAATATTTATACATGACAGATACATTGTTCTTACATAGATGGAAAAAATACGTATATATATAATTATACAATAGTAAATAGTAAATAAATATACTCAGAATTAAATTAAACAACCAGTTTTTGTGCGATTATTGCGATCATGGATAATAAAAGTTACGAGCTGAATTTTTTTTTAATTTTGGGGTATTTTGCACATTTGAAATGACTAACGTTCTGTAAAAAAGAAGAAAAAAAATGAATCAGCGGATGAAATTTAGGACACATATTACTTATTTGTCCAGCCAGGTATATACATAGTATATGCACGAAAAAAATTCCAAAAGTTTATTAGCCCCTTTATTAACATTTTTCTTTTGTCTCGTGCGGCAATATATAATGTCACAGTGGTCGATCTCTGTAGGCACTTAACTTTATAAAACTGTGTCCGAATGCTTCAGTTGAGTCACTTTAAAGCTACATGCCTTCAGATGAGTCAAAATAATTCAATAAAATCAAACTTGAGGAAAATGTAATAAGATAAGATGTAAGGAAAAGTAAAAAAAATCAAGATTCAAGTAATATTTTACAAATTATGTGCGATTAATGACTGATTTTCTTTAGTATTTATAACTATATGTCTACAGCGTTACTAACGCAGTAAAGGCTATATATGCATATTTTGACCACGTTTTGGTAATTAACTTGGTTTGTGAGTGCCATTGATAATGCGTAAATTGCTTTCTTTTGGTAACTGCACAATATTACACATTCAAATACATTTTCAAAATTTTCATGAAAATAAGTATGAATCTGGAGGCGTGCTGCTTTAATGAACATATTATATTTTTTATTCTTGCATCTCAGACAGGATTATCTACCGTTTACACCGGTGCTAGAATAATAATATCTGTCATATTTTGCGGTTCGGATCGGAATATCCGTCCCGAGGTGACCCGCCCATTGGGCGGTAACGAGGCTTGCCGAGTTACCGCCCATGGGCGGGTGACCGAGGGACGGATATTCCGATCCGAACCGCAAACATATGTCAGATATTTTTTCTTGCATATTCTACCATATTCCATTATATTTTAAATTCTTTATCTTTATTTTCAATGAAAATTTATATCATTACAACCGTAACTACTTTCATTCAACAGCGTATGAATTACAAAATCATTCATAACGGTAAAATGACATCATCTTTATCGTGCCATTGCACAGCACGCGACTCATCTGGAACCCCCATGCCAGATGAAATTTCCGGCATGGGCAAAACTAACGGAAACGCCAGTCTGATATGCAAGAAAACTCTGTCTTACACCCCCATGTAAGACAAGTCGCGTGCTTTAAATGACGTCATTGACGCGCGCCTTTTATGAATGAATCGCGTTCTTAGGATGACGTCATTTTCCCGTTATGAATGAAGTTGTAAGTTCATACGCTACTATAAGATAAAAGTGCGTAAAGAGAATATCAGTTTTCATAATTTCTGTTCCGAAAATAATTGACATGTAATATGCAAGAAAAAGAATCAAACACCGGCTGTTGGTACAGACAAGAATATCTAGCTCTCAGGTTACTGTTTAGCGGAAACTCGGCAGAGCCTCGTTACCGCTGTAAACAGTTACCCTCGAGCTAGATATTCCGGTCTGTACCGGCAGCCGGTGTAAGATTCTTATATCACTACAACAGTATTATTAAAAATATTGATTGGGCTAAATCTTATAATTATTTCAATAAATCTTCTTTTTTTTTATTCTTGCAACAACTTTGAATATATTCGTGCATATTTTTCTTTTTTAAATTATGACGAATGCAAAACCACAAACAAAATACATAAATTATAGCAAAATTTTCGGGGGAAAGTTTGGTGAATTCTCTTATCAATGGGCGAAGAGGATATATCATCTTAAAATGTAATAACTGCTGTCGCCAACCAAATTAAGAACAAAGATCATTTTGTTGATACCAAATACATATACTTCAACTGTAAGTCGATTGCACACTAAAATCACTGAGTTACCACTTTTCATGTGTCCAAGAGTGTACGTGCCGTTATCAATTTTATATAAGTAAATATTTTACTTTGGAAACGAACCGCCTCCGTGGTCGAGGGGTTAGAGTCGATGACTTCTAATCCAGTTACCTGTCTGGCATGGGTTCGCTCTCCGGGAGATGCTTTGGTAGATAGCACGGAGGAAGGTAGTCTAGTACTGGTGTAACTCTTCAGGAACGATGGTTAGGAAACTACCCGCCTATATGACTGGAATACTGTTGGGAAAACAAACAAACAAAATTTTGGAAACGAACAAAATTAGAACCGGATAAATTCAAGGGCCTCTTATTTTAAAAGAAAGTCATGATAAAAACCTTATCTACAACCCTCATCCCCCTCCTCAACCCCAACAACAACAACAACAACAACAACAACAAAGAAACAAGTCATCGTTTGGGCGTGTGATTTTTAAGCAAACACTTGTACATGCATTTCGTCCAACAAACCAAGAATGTACTGTATATTCCTTGAATATAAATATAAAGCGTTCTTGATCACGGACGGTTGTCAACTTTTACAAATGTTGTTTCTCTTTTGAAGAACCGTCGTAGATTAAAGGTACAAGAAAATATACACAGAACATGATTACAAAATCCTGGACCTATATATACATTGTATATAATTAATGGTTAATTTAATATACATATGTCACAGGGTGAGAAACATGTGCAGCCTGACCGGGACTCGAACCCGGGACCCTCGGAATACCGTTCCGCGGCTCTTCCGACTGAGCTATCCGGCCGCTTACACATCTTCTCCCCTAAATAGTGAACAGTTCTGAACCGTGACATACTTCACCACAATATTGAAATTCGTCTTCGAATTTCACAAAGCTACAGAGCAATGCTAATTGAACTCTGAGCTATAAGCAGTCACGGGCCCCACGTTGGGCGCCAAATGTCACAGGGTGAGAAACATGTGCAGCCTGACCGGGACTCGAACCCGGGACCCTCGGAATACCGTTCCGCGGCTCTACCGACTGAGCTATCCGGCCGCTTACACATCTTCTCCCCTAAATAGTGAACAGTTCTGAACCGTGACACATACCCGGTTTGGGACTTTGTAGGTACTAAAATCCTGTTGATGTGTCCAAAAGCTACAGCTATAGCGGATCGAGTTTCTTTAATGAACATATTATACAGTAAAAACCCTCAATTAAGACCACCATCGGGGCTGGACCAAAGTGGTCTTAATTGCGGGGTGGTCTTAATTGTGGATATTCTTATCATTGCTTACACACAATATGACCAGGGCCTATTTTAGTCATTTTGTATGAACAAACAATATGTATCTTAACCTGCAAATACAATATAAAAGTTTATATTTTATAATGTTACATCTGATGGGAAGAAAACATATTTCTGAAGAAATTTAATATCAAATTTTCTTTGTTCTGATTTCAATAATAATTATTGTATGAGGTACATAATTCACATTTCATATCAGACTTTATTTCTTCACAAAACAAATGTGCATAAAGCAACATTAAACTACTATGAAATTAACATTCTCACCTTTTTTTCGTTAAATATCCCATAAATAACAGTGTTTGACACCTTGTGTAATCAAGTTTCATGCCTAAGAGCAATCAAGCAGATAATTACAACACATTTAAGATCTAGGAAGGTGTTGATTTTAATATCAGTGGTCTCAATAGTGAGGTCAAATAAAGAACAAAATAATGAATTGGGACTGAATTTGGTGGTCTTAAATGTGGATAAGTGAGGTGGTCTTAATTCTGGATCATGTAACCATTGACATAAAGAATAGAAAATTCCGTTCTTTTAAAACTCTTAAAAGCGAGGTGGTCTTAAATCCGAGGTGGTCTTTACTAGGGATTCTACTGTATTAAAGGGACACCATTGAGGTTTATAAGACTAAAAACATAACATTTGAATTTCTTACATAATTGAGCTGGGGCACTTTAAACAAAGCTAGTTCATGTAGTTAAGAAACTATTCTTTGAAATAAATTGAAAATCGTATTTTTATGATTTTCTTAGCCCGATTTGAGTGAAAAGTGTTCATCCGCTTTTATCTCTGGGTCATTTTTTAACAATTTTAATAATTATTCTAGTAAAAGGAAGTGCGCAAATGATCTGAAATCTTGCACAAAGATTAGTGGTCTAAACCTACACCAAATGGTACGTTTATCTGGAAAAATATTTTCAGTCCCATCATGTCAATAAACCTTAGTGGAGTCCCTTTAATTGAACCATAGTATAGCAGCATGCCTCCAGAATGCTATTTTTCATGGAAATTTCGAAAATGCATTTAAAAGTAGTAAAATATTGTGAAGTGGACAAAGGAATACATTGAAAATCACGTAAGGTATAAAAAAGAGGTCAACATATGCAAAAATAGCCCTTAGCGTTAGTCACGCAGTGAAGATATATTATGATATTAAATACCGCAAAATTACTAATTAATCGCATAAAACATGGAGATTTTACTTGAATATTGAATCTTATCTCTTCTTAATATTCTAGAACATTTTCACAATAGTTTGAATTTCTTGACCAATCTTTCTTTGCAATTATTGCAACAATTTCGGACATTTTCGTTTAGATTTTTTTATCATTATGACGAATGCAAATTAAAAGTTTATAACCGCA